TGTCAGCATAAACCACGATTTACAAATTTACGATCTTTCAACTCTGTTTTTTTCACCAAAATAATATTCTAATAAGAGCCCCCTATTTCTAATTTTGAGAGAGCCCTGGGCACTTATTCAGCGAATACGGTACCTACAGTAAACTACGGTAATAACAAATTTAAAAGGACCACTAAATTTAGTTCATAATAACCATAGATTGTTATATGCACATATACAGCATAATTACAGTATATGGACAGGGCCGAAAAATATCCATCAGTTCGTTATAAGCGTGTTCATTATAAACGTAGTTTACTGTATATTGACATGAATGATATCAAGATTGATTTGTACAAAAATACTTAAGTAATCTAATATTGCTGTACCATCTAGTCAGGTATACCAAATATGTTTTGGTTGGTTCTCAACAGATCTAACATTGTATGAAAGAATATGACAAGTCTTGTAGTGTCAAGATTAATCCGTATCATATTGCCACCTCACTATCTAAATCATCCACTGAGAACCCCCACACCACTGCTATCTAACACAAACACATAAATATGAAATATATTCTCCCAAGCTGCTTTTGACCCAGCGTACAATGGAGGAAGTACAGTACTTGTCTTGTCATTTGACCACTGTCTGATCCCTAGATAATCAGAGTCCATTCGATAATCAGATTATTATCTCAAGCCTGCAACTGATCTGCGGTCTTATATATACTCGTATACAGGAATCTGTCCAAATTGGACTACATGTATCTCAAATTCGGATTTCGGTGAAAACCAGACTTTTACTCCGGTCCCCTCAGTTCCTTAATAAATTATCATTACTCAAAATGACCCACAGCTCTCTAATTTCGACTTTTTACACTTCAGACTAAAATTATGGTCCCAACAACCAAATTACTAGTGAAAAGAAGCTGTCTAAATCAGACTGGACCAGACTGGACGTTCACTCCCTTTGAAGTAAGCTCAGTCATTGTCAGCTAAACAACACTGCTAATCCTGCAAGTAATCCTATTGATCCTTGACACTTTTTTGTCCTTTTAGTTAATTAGAATTTAGTCATCTGTTGAATGAATTCCTAGTTTTTTTTCTGATTGGCTGAATGACTTGAACAGACAAATGCGCATCTTCTCGAGGCAAGTGAGTTAACTGACTGTAAAAGTCCAGTTTCCACCCTTGCCGAACTAGGCTGGTATTATGGAGTTACATTTTGGCTGGACTAACGAGTCTATGCATAGTCCAATCAGAATCGCTCCCCGAAATAGAAATCCGGTTCGTAAAGTGTCATGCAGATTTCGGTCGACTGCAGGATTTGCAAAGCATGTGCACCGCTAACTCGTTGTCAACAGATATTTTCAAAATCTTTTCATGTTTTTAATCAAGGTGCTCACGTGATTTGATGCACTTCCCGATGTAAGACTCGTTTTATCACAATATAAATCTTGATTATTGATCAGGGCGCCACCGTTTTGTTTCAAGCAAATGCAAGTGATACGAGAGGTTAAATCTGATTGGTCAATAGGAGAGGCATAGAAAGGACATAACTCATAATAGCCACTGGTGGCGCTATGATCGAGCCCAGGAATTCCAGCCTAGTTCGGCAAGGGTGGAAACTAGACTTTTAAAGTCAGTTAACTCTCTTGCCTCGGGAAGATGACAAATGCTTGGACAGAGTCACTTCTGCTGTCTATACAGATACACTACATCTCATCCAAACATTGTATTGAGCAACATGAAAATTGAATTTTTGTCCCCTAACTGCACCTCTTTTACTGCAGCGACTCAATCAAGGTGTTATTAGAGAGTTCAAAGTATGGTATCATTAGCTGCAAATCATTAGCTGAAATTGAAATCACTTGTCTCGAATGGACTCAAATGGTTACTCTTTACAAACCATGCTATGCAGAAATTTGTATTTGAGTAAGGAAGAGCAAATCCAAACATTAGATTCTAATCAAAACTTTACATTAAAATCTGGCAGAGTTTCAATTAAATGAATTGTTTAATATAAACTGCAAATATATTTATTATATATACACATCTAGCTTGGCATGTACAATTCATTTGTTACATCTAACCTTCATTGATGTATTTGTTGTAATATGTCCTATGTGTAATGGAGCGGTATTAACATAAGCGCTTCGCTTGTTTACCAATCCATTTTCTCACTTTTGTGAAAATGAATACCGTATTCGACGTAATAAGCGCCCAGGGCGCTCTCAAAATAAGAAATAGGGGGCTCTTATTAGAATATTATTTTGGTGGAAAAAACAGAGTTGAAAGATAAATTTCGTGGTTTATGCTGACGGTTTGAACTGTTTATATACGACAGATATATTTTTCTAGAATTTAATTGCCCATAATTAAGGGTGCATATAACACACGAGTGTGTATTATACAAGAATAAATAAGTCTTGTCTACATTGATCATTCGGAAGGGGTGCTAAGTGGGATTGTTCACTTGCCAATATATAAGCAAATATCGCCGTGGGCGCTTATAAGAGCGGGGTGCTTATTACATTGAATACGGTATGTTTAAACTGACTCAAATTGGACTCTGGACCACTCCGTAAATCACACATTTTTAACGGTCCAAACCGAGTATGAACTGGACAGATTCTACCGTACATATATAAATAAAACACTGAAGGCTGCACGTTCAAACAACTCTACAGTATGCCACTCTGAGGTGTATATGTGGGAATGCTTCATTGTCCAAACAAGGTGAACAAAAACTTGTTCTGTAAAATATGGGCAAATTCTGAAATTAAATATTCAGTAATTTCTGGAAAACATAACATGGACACAGATTCTTCATCAACACAAAACAACTAAGTATACTCAACATGGAAATGTTTTTAGAGGCATGCACCTCGGTTATTTTCTCGATCATCACAAGTTGGTACTTTACCAAAATGTGACTCCCTGTATATTTAGGTAAAATGTTTGTCGCACGACATCTCTCGGTATCACACGACGCACCTGAGTGTCACACGACATCTGTGGGTACCACACGATATACCTTGGAATTACGCGACACACGCCTGGGTGTCACATGACATCTGTGGGCATCACACGACACTCATGGTTGTCACATGACACAACTGGGTGTCACACTCATACCTCAGTATCACACGACACACTTGGGTGTCACACTCATACCTAGGCAAAACATTTGCAACACATGCCTAACACAAGTAATAAAGATCAATGACTAGTAACCAACAAAATTTCAAGGCACTTGCAGAAACAATAAATAACCATCCTCAAGGCCAGGACTCTACGTCCACCGCTGAGCACAAGGAACGCCTCACTGACATAAATAGCACAACTTGTCTGAAGACGGTGATGAAACAACAAACATTCCTCCACCAAGCTCCATCCTCGATTATCCAGTGTACATCAGAGCTCCAGATAGGCTGCGTATCTGCGTAAAATACGCATCAGAAATGCAGAAATACGCAGTAAAATAAATCCAAGCGTATCAAATATGCAACGAACATTACCGATAAGCTACAAAAATACAACTTGTGTGTATAATCAAAATATTGTGAAGTAACCCTGCGTATTCGATTAGCAAATCAGCAACTTATTTTGAAATTATTTACAGGCATTCCGTCAACCTTGCCAAACTCCACGATGACAGTAACATCACGATCATATTGCCATCACACTTTCTTGTGGAAGTATGATGGTATTTTTTAGTCCCATAAAGCTCTCGAACACACACCACACCAGTTTGCAGGGACTAGATGAATAGTGTTTTTAAATATTTAACTTAAATACCCACATGTGTAAAAACTAGTGGGTAACAGAAATTTGAATACCCAGATAGAATTACTGATACCAAATAATTTTAAAATGCATGGGTAAAATACCCACAACACCAAAAGCTTATCTGGAGCTCTGGTACATTATCTCCTTTTGATCATGACAAATACCCCGGACCAACTTGCCATCATAGTTTCGTTCTGAGTTTGATTAGAACAGCATGATGCAAAATATAGCCGTCCAATTAAATTAGCCACGCGAGTGAGGGAAATTCTGTTATCAGCTAGAGATAGGAGTGATGTCACTTCTAAAACAAGGGCTTAAACAAATACAAAGAATTGGTTCTCAGGCCATGGCTTTTGAACATGTAGTAGGGGCAGGCGGGTTTTTTTCCTTTTCTTTTTTTGGTTGTTCAAACTAGACTTTGAATACTTAAGCAATTTTTTGTTGTTTTTTAATGGAAATAAAAACAAAACGTCTGGCGGACTTTATGATGATGCGGGTGGTGCCATAGAACCAAGACTATTGTTATTTTTTTTTAACTGTGGTGCGATGAATCAGGGGTAAAGTTATCACAATTTAATGGAATGGAGGCATTACACACTGTAGAATAGACGATGCTGGAGTTTCAGGGCCCACTTGCACAAAGCGATCTTAGCGCTAAGATGATCATAAATCCCATTCTTAAACACAGGCTTACAATAGTCGCATCGCTAAGACCTCTTTGTGCAAGTGGGCTTTTCTTAATATTCTGCTACCAACATATTCTTTTGATTTATAGAGCACAGCTAAATGCTCCAGTCTAATGGGTTCATGTGATGCTATACCCTGATCATGTCTTACAACAAACACAACATTCATACAACAGCTGCTCGAGCTGCAAATACTTTGAGAATTACACAGATGCCTTGGACGTAGGATCGAGGTATTGACGGGAAAGTGAAAAGTGTTGTTTGCGAGAAGTGGTCACCTCATACGTGTATGTTCTTATTCATGGGAGATGATTTGTCTGTGCTCTAAGACACAAGGCTTGTGCCTATTGGGTAACAGGAAATATAGCCTTTGACATGCTTGTCGTAAAAGGCGACTAACCGGGTCGGGTGGTCAGGCTCGCTGACTTGGTTGATGCATGTCATCGTATCCCAATTGCGCGGCTCGATGCTCATGATATTAATCACTGGATTGTCTGGTCCAGGCTCGATTATTTACAGACCGCCGTCATATAGCTGGAATATTGCTGAGTGCGGCGAAAAACAACAAACCAACCAACCAGGTCAAGGATCTAGGATCTCTTAATCTAAGTGCATTAACCTCCCAAATCCCACACTTCAACACAGACATAAACTAGTCATCACTTTGTGGCATGCACCTCAAGCTATTGGGTATGAATCTTGGATGAGCATCAATCTGGAATTTTTGTGTTACAGTTTCCATGATAAATATTGATATGACCTTCACACTTAAAATACAGATCAAACACATCGTCGTATCCTTTCCCTTTCCACCATGTGCACAGCTGCCTGTTCCAACTGCAGGGAAGAACGTAGAATAGTTCCTCATGTTCCAACGACAGAAGAGTGAAGAAGCACTGATCGCCGAGATGACCCTTGAAGCTGTACTTCGTCTTCAGCTGTTCAGCCACTTCAGCTGTGATGAGAGAATTGTAGACAGTTGATGACCTCATCCTGTCAATATCAAGGAGAAGGACACCGCTGTTGAATCCTGTCAGGCCATTGGGTGGGGGCTCTCCGACGCGCGTCCCCTTGTTCTGGCTTCTGTACTGGTAGAACTGGTGGCGGTACACTGGCTGGGCCTCGTGGGCTATCCCCATCACATTCGTGTCGGAGAACTCATCGAACAGAGCATGCAGGTTCCTGATGTCTCCATGGAACTTCAGATCGGCGTCTAGCATGATGACTTTGTGAATGTCCGTGGGAAGCACTCTGTGTATAGCGATAGACATGAAGAACAATGCATCATGGTAGTACGACTTCTGGCCACTGAATTTGTTCTGCATGTCCTTCACGATATCATGGAGCCTGTGTGTGATATCCTCAATGTCAAGGTGCACCATCTGTAAAAGAATCAAGAGCTAAGAATTGATAATTTGTTTGTTTGTTTAAGGCCGCACTCAGCAATATTCCAGCTATATGACAGCAGTCTGTGAATCATCGAGTCTGGACCAGCCAATCCAGTGATTGACATCATGAGCATCGATCCACGCAATTGGGATCAATGACAGGTTTCAACCAAGTCAGCGAGTCTGACCACCCGATCCCGTTAGTTGCCTCTTACGACAAGCATAGTCGCCTTTTACAGCAAGCAAGGGTTGCTGAAGACCTATTCTACTCCTGATCTTCACCGGTCAGAATCGATAATGATGGAGATAATCATGGGCATCCAGTGGAAACAATTTCGCAATTTTGAATCAATGAAGACAACCAAATCTCAAGACTGTAAATACTGGGCTTTGAAACTTGACATAAGAGAAGATAATAAATAATATAAAATGTTTTTCTAACATATTTTGTCAAAGACTCTAAACTTGGTCCAACTGTTCAGAAGTTTGCAGTGTTTCCCTTATGAAGTTAGCAGATAAGTTCACCATGGCAACATTGTGGGATTGTCATCTTAGGGATGGCTGTGCATGGTCCTTATCATCATAAATTTGGAACTGGTTTGAGGTATCTTTATTAAATATATACCACCTCAATGGTCTAGTGGTAGAGCGGAAGGTCCGGGGTTCGATCCCCGGTTGCGTCATACCAAGAGACGTTTAAAGATGGTACTTGTTGTTACCCTGTCTGGCGCTCGGCATTAAGGGGTTAAAGCAAGGACTGGTCGGGTCGGAGTCAGTATACTGTGTCTGAGTGGGGTATTCATGTTAAACTGCGGCATGGTATCTCAGTGGGCTAGCACTGTAAATCGGCATCAGTCCGGTCAAGTACAAGCAGCCACACACACACACACGTGCATGCACGTCGCTATATAAGTGCAATAATCTTGGACGCGACGTTAAACCCAATTTCACCTCACCTCACCTTCATTAAATATATCTCATTTCACCTTGATTACTGCGATTAGGACAACATTCAATGCTGGGAATGACAAAGAGCCCTTCCTCTGAGTGACATAATATGTCCAGGCTCGGGACATTATTTCACCCAAGAAACATAACCCAGAATTCCTAGTTGTTAAAAGTTCCTGTCCAGACAGTTTCCCCCTGTGTTAGTGAGCCTAAAAACCTAAAATGTTTTGCATCAATGCATGCAGTCATGTGATGATCAACTATTTCAGCCAAATCACATTGAAAATACCGTATTCGACATAATAACCGCCCAGGGCGTTCTGAAAATTAGAAAAAGGGCGCTCTTATTAGAATAAAATTTGGGTGAAAAAAAAAACAGTTAAAAGATCGTAAATTTTGTGGTATATGCTGACAGCCTGAAATGATACAAAAGAAAAGTCTGTGTGTATTATACACGACAGATATATTTTTCCAGAATTTAATTGCCCATAATTAAATGTGCATATAACACACAAGTGTGTATTATACATGAATAAACAAGTCTTCCTTATTCAATCCTTATTCTACAATGAATTTGGACAATATCTGATTCTGACTGGTCAATAAGAGGTATCAAATCACATCAACCACCTCTTATTGACAAGCCTGTAGTATGTATTTGAGCACCTTTAGAATTCAGTACAACTTCTCGTGAGGACGATCTCTGCTGTGAGACAAGCAACCAATTTTTTAGGGAATCAGTCGGGACTTGAACATGTTGAACTTGCAATCTTCGGATTTTTAGCTCGACACGATAACTGACTGAGCTACACCACACTATTAAACTGAGTGCAAATATACTTAATCATGCTCAAACTGTCACAAAAATGAACGGAAAGTGGCGAAACAAGGTTACGGACAGCTATGGTGTTTTGTGATTTCTGTCTACAGACAATTGCGAGTTATCTGGCTCCAATTGGAAAACTTGTCAGTTCCGAAATGTACAAGATACTGATCGATAAGGAATGAGCAGATAAGGCGCCAACTGGAAACAGCTCCGGGTGTAAAACGTTGAATTCACGAGTGTACATGAAATGACATAGTATTTAATAATTTGTTAGGCGGTTTTGTGACAGAAAAGTGTAGGAAGGAACACTGTAAAGCTATCATGGACCATATCTAGTAAGGAACAAGGAACAATTTAAAAAAAATATTTCTGTCACAAAATAATTAGGAAGATATGGTTATCAAATATTAAGAATCTTTGATGTAATTGTCTCTCTTAGAGCAGATGTTTTAAAAATGTATAAAATATATTACCCTGTAGTTGGTTGATTTAACGTTTTCCTTCATAATGGATGCAGCTAGCTTCTGACTTTCTATGTCGCCCAGGATATGTAGAGCTACAGGTGCAGATGTTGCAGCCAGCATTGATGTTACAGTAACTGTAAATTTCCTCTGAAGAGAAGGACTAGATTGAGCGTTAGTAAATGTGATAATGACATTTATTTCATCAGGCAAATCTCCGTCACTGGATGGGAGTGTATTCTTTTCTTCAACTTCTTTTGTGAGTTCTCCTGTTAAAAGGGAATTATTTTCTTCAACCTGTTCCTGTTTTCGGCCTTCTTTCAAAGATTTTACCTTCTCTTCAAGCACATTATTTCTGTAAAACTGTTTGTTTTCATGTGTAAATGAGTTATTTTGTCCGCTGTTGTAATACAGAAAGACGACGCCCACTAAGATGACACATAGCAACACGAGACTTAATGGTTTAGTTGGAAAGAATCTTGAAAGGGTCGACATTGTGCCACATCGGCAAACTGATTACACGACAACGACACAGCACTGTGTGACTGTGAGCCTCGTAATCTTTTCACCGACCAGCGGAATCAATCATATCAACAAAGATTTTTTCTTAGAAAATAAAAACGAACAACTGTTCATATTGTAACTTATAATCTAGAGACATGTTGGGATATGCTGATTTAATTTATAAAGGGTATTCACCTTTATACTATTTCACTATTAAGTAAATATCACTAAATATCTCATGAATGGAGAAGGAAAATGCGATAATGTGTCCACATTTCGAAATGGGGTTCATGTTTTGTATGTTTCATTTTAACCAATCAGGGTTGCCAACACATCACGTGATGTAAACAAATTTCAGAAAATGGCGCTGTCCTGTGGCCTGTCAGTGCTTGTCGAAAGGAAGTAACTATATTTGAATTTGTAGGTATAACACTTAAATTTCAGTAATTATGTGAATCAGATGTTGTTATATTAATGTCAAATCACCAAATGTAGGTTTCACGGATAAGTTAAAATCAATAATAGACGAATTGTTGTGAAATTGATCATCGTAAATATTCGAATGTGATTTCTTGAAACGCCTTTGGAGTAAGAACCCCTGTACTAGTCTTTTACTAACACAATAAGAAGTGCCTTTACCTGTAGTAACGGTACACAACGCAGCACTGGTGTTTGCCATGTTTACACAAGTTCTCTCAATGGAAAAGCAAATTGATCAAAGTTACAGTCTACTACAAATGGTTGATAACTAGAAAAGTGGGCAACAATACAGTTTACCGGGCACAGCTTACAAAGCGCTTAATGTCAGGCTGCCGGCTCTGGCTCTCACTTCACAGATCTCATGTGCCTTTTCGTTCCTTAGTTTATATTTATGCACGACACGACAATTCACAATCCCTCGAGGTTTATTGCTTGCGAGAATGTACACGAATTATAGACTGAGATGGACTGCAACATAAACTAACAATAATGACTTTAACTGTTTTCGTACTGTCAATGCATGCAGCCACATCTTACTTATGCATTTGTATATGCCAAAAAACCCACCACTGATAAATGTAGGGTATAAATATCCTGGCATTAGATCTATAGTATTATGAAGTAATATTTGTAAGGGTTTTTTTTCTATATAAGGTTTTATATGCTTGTGCAATGCTAAATACATCAAATATCGACATCCAATATCGACGAGCATATGTGTTTACGAGCAGTATAGAGTTACCTACCCTGCTTAATTAAATTGACAGCATAATGCTTAAAATTTTTAGTACATACCACCACCAACATTCTTTTAGTTGTGTTAGGGTAGGTTACACCGACTCTATCCTTAGCCCTTGGATACCACTTATGATCAATATGGTTAAGTTTCCCTTCTTCCGATCAAATACCTACTTCACAATCCTTTGGTTTGGGGACCACTTTCCAGGAAAACAACCCTTCAATATCCTAAGGTTTAGGCACCCTTTTATGATCCTTAGGGTAGGGTATAGGTTGAGTGTCTCTTTTATCAAATTGATCCAATGTAATTTGAGGGAAATCTATACAATTTTAATCAAGTTTAGAGTTTCGCAGAGAAAATGCCTACTGCGCATAAAGGTAAACAATTGGGTGCAAATCACTTGATAAACAAGCACTAATTAAGTGTGATAGAGCCTGATTAATTTCGGTCCTCCATGCACATGATGCAGCGCTAATTGAAACCTGAAAAGGTGTGCCTAGTAAGTGCACTACTGCAAAAGTTGCACAATTGTGCAAAAGTTGCACAATTGTGGATGACATGAAGCATGAGAAACATTGGGTTGCATCTACCAAGATTGCTCCACCATAAATTTGAATACAATTATCATTAATATTTATGGACCACAGTAGATACTTGTTATGCAATATGTGCATATGCATCACCATATTAAGGCTGTAACCATGGTAAAACTATGCTTTATAAGGATCCATATCTCAAAAGCTAGGTTGTATGATGTTATATACAACACATGAAAACTCAACTCATGTCATGAAAAGAAATATTCCATCATCAAAGGCCCATTCAAAACTTTATAACTGAGTTTGTGTTAACAATAACAGCAGTAACTGATGGATTATTGTGATTTATCATCAGAACAATATAAAACCGTAATAACATTGACAAGGAATTAACTTTGGATGTATTTTTCATTCCAGTTTCAAGAAAGTCTAGTAACCATCTGAGCCTGTGTATTCTCATCTTGTGCAGCAGCCAGTGATGGCGTCGAGGGATGAAGAACTGCGTCGACAGTGTCAGGGCCTGTTGCAGAGACTCAAGTTCCAGCAAAGTGAACTGAAGGTGATGATACCGGGTACATCATCTACTCATCAGGAGCCATCATCAAACAACCTGTACAACCACCGCAGTGATCTCAAGCCCGAGTATGCAAGAGACAAACTGAGAAGTGTAGTCCGGTCCACAGACAGAGGAGAGGAACAGACCTCCTATTCAGGCTCCAGATATAATGGGAACCAGACAAGACCTTCATATACCAAAGTGGCCAACAGTTTACTGAATGAAACGTCAAGTAGGAGACATGTTGGGAGTTTAGGGAGTGAAGGGTTTTCAGGCGTTGGTAGAGATGTCCCAGCAGAGCCCTCTTACACCACTGACGGGAATGCGGCAAGTGGACAGACCTACTCCTGTGGGTACACCACGACGCCGAGGACACGGCGGAGGAGAGAACTCATTGACAGAAATGTAAAGGTGTGAATGTTCTTGACAATAATTACAGTAACTGAGAGTGACTAATACCATGAATGCAGTGAGCCCTTGTTAATATAACCTAGTCAATGTCGTTGGAATCATCAAAGTTATGATTTTTAAACTGATCCTATCTCATCTTATCCAATTCTCCCTTCTTCTTTCGATCCTATATGGAAATGCGCTTTATGATTTTTAAACTTATCCTATCTCACACTATGCATTTTTACCTTCTTCTTTTGACCATATGTGGAAAAGGGTGGTTGGATAGCCTAGTGGTTAAAGCGTTTGCTCATCACACCGAAGACCCGGGTTTGATTCCCGACATGGGTACAATGTGTGAAGCCCAGTTCTGTTGTCCCCCGCCATGAAATTGCTGGAATATTGCAAAAGCAGTGTAAAACCATACTCATTCACTCATTCACTCATTCACTCACTCACTCACTCACATGTAGAAATGCTCTTGAATGAAGATGCCATCTTCTAGAAACAAATCACATGAACACATCCCAGCATCACCATGGTCACCGCCCAAACAAAGGGGTCATGTACTGTAATCCTGTGCATAGTGACCTACACGACTTGATCAAGTGAATACCTCAACATCTCATATTCCAAATGAAAATTGTTTGAGACAAAGATATTCTTAGTTCTGACAAATAGAGGGCAGTCTCACCAGTCAGGCTTACAAACAAAATGACATGATTTTTAATGCCTTGGCCCCTGAAAAAAAGTGGCTCCCCTGGCCCAATACTTAGCATGCCTGTGTTCATATTGATCCATACAGAGCTACAGATAAGCAGTGTCTTTGCGTAAAATGACCCCACCCCCAAAATATTCAAAACCCAATTATTTTCAATTAACAGAAACATGCATTAAATGAAAAACTCAAATGTATAAAAACAGCACGTGTAAATACCAAATGAAGCTTTTTCAGCATGCGTTCAGAGGAGCTAATTTCCGAAACGCAATTACGAGCTAATTTACTTTCCCAGTCAAGCCTATATATTTAGAACAGTATTTTACATCTAAAACATTACTTCATTTTTTTTAAGCTTAAAATGTTTACTTATTTTGGGAAATACCCAACAGACATGACAGAGTGATGAATAGATTAGTGAAATAATATTGGTTACCCAATGAACACTATAATTACCCCATTAAAATAGAAACCATGGTGTAAAAACTCAATTGCTCAAAATGTTTTCTGGAGCTCTGTCCACAGGCATGATAGACTTCTGGGCCCACTTGCACAAAACGATCTTAGCGCTAAGACTATTGTAACCCTATGTTAAAGTATGGGAGTTAAGATCATCTTAGCGCTAAGATCGCTTTGTGCAAGTGGGCCCAGGTCTTTGACTGATAGTTGGACCAGTAACTGTTGTGTATTCTAATCTTCTGATGATTCTATACTCAATGTTACCATGGTAACTTGTCAGTTTTTATACACCGGTAGTTAACACGCTATAACAGCATGGTGAGATGATGGCAGGTATTATCATGATGACTCAGTCATGGAAATGATGATATTCATAATAAACATAAACATGATAAAGCGAGTCGTGCAGTGTTCGAAATTAAGCTTGAAAGTCAATGGATCTTTGCCATATCTCTAATGTTGAGCATTTAGGGGTCCCCAGTAGGGCTGGGATGAGTCCAAATTTACTACCCAGGTACCCACTGTAGGTCTCAGGAGATGGGTACAAACTGTCCGATTCTGAATAGCTTGACGGTAGCCTTGGCAAAATGTATTTAGATGTACACGTATAAAACAATCTGGTCATGCATTCACTGAAGTTGCTTTATCTTTATTCAAAACATGTAAAAGTCAGAAAGAAATGCAAATATTAGTGACTTGTAGTGTAAGCATGGACTTCTAGATCATTTTTGTCATTAAACAATATATCATGTGACTAACCATGGGTCTGGATAGTCCTGTGGGTAACCGGGTCTTACTCAGCACCCACCTGACCCGAGTACCCGAGTTACCCGTCCCAGCCCTCCTTGTCCCTTGAGTCAAATACTTCAGAAGACCAGGACAGCCCCTCAATCCCAACATGGATGCTGTACCCACCCCACCTGAGTACCCAAGTTACCCATCCCAGCCCTCCTTGTCCCTTGAGTCAAATACTTCAGAAGACCAGGACAGCCCCTCAATCCAAACATGGATGCTGTACCCACCCCACCCGAGTACCCAAGTTACCCATCCCAGCCCTCCTTGTCCCTTGAGTCAAATACTTCAGAAGCCCAGGACAACCCCTCATTCCTAACATGGATGCTGTACCCATCCCACCCGAGTTACCCATCCCAGCCCTCCTTGTCCCTTGAGTCAAATACTTCAGAAGACCAGGACAACCCCTCATTCCCAACATGGATGCTGTACCCACCCCACCCGAGTAGCTGAGTTACCTGTCCCAGCCCTCCTTGTCCCTGGAGTCAAATACTTCAGATGACCAGGACAGCCCCTCATTCCCAACATGGATGCTGTACCCACCCTACTTGAGTACCCGAGTTACCCGTCCCAGCCCTCCTTGTCCCTTGAATCAAATACTTCAGAAGACCAGGACAACCCCTCATTCCCAACATGGATGCTGTACCCATCCCACCCGAGTACCCGAGTTACCCATCCCAGCCCTCCTTGTCCCTTGAGTCAAATACTTCAGAAGACCAGGACAACCCCTCATTCCCAACATGGATGCTGTACCCACTCCATCCCACCCGAGTACCCAAGTTACCCATCCCAGCCCTCCTTGTCCCTTGAGTCAAATACTTCAGAAGACCAGGACAGCCCCTCAATCCAAACATGGATGCTGTACCCATCCCACCCGAGTACCCAAGTTACCCATCCCAGCCCTCCTTGTCCCTTGAGTCAAATACTTCAGAAGACCAGGACAAACCCTCATTCCCAACATGGATGCTGTACCCACTCCATCCCACCCGAGTACCCAAGTTACCCATCCCAGCCCTCCTTGTCCCTTGAGTCAAATACTTCAGAAGACCAGGACAAACCCTCATTCCCAACATGGATGCTGTACCCACCCCACCCGAGTACCCAAGTTACCCATCCCAGCCCTCCTTGTCCCTTGAGTCAAATACTTCAGAAGACCAGGACAAACCCTCATTCCCAACATGGATGCTGTACCCACCCGACCCGAGTACCCAAGTTACCCATCCCAGCCCTCCTTGTCCCTTGAGTCAAATACTTCAGAAGACCAGGACAGCCCCTCAATCCAAACATGGATGCTGTACCCATCCCACCCGAGTACCCAAGTTACCCATCCCAGCCCTCCTTGTCCCTTGAGTCAAATACTTCAGAAGACCAGGACAGCCCCTCATTCCCAACATGGATGCTGTACCCACCCGACCCGAGTACCCAAGTTACCCATCCCAGCCCTCCTTGTCCCTTGAGTCAAATACTTCAGAAGACCAGGACAGCCCCTCAATCCAAACATGGATGCTGTACCCATCCCACCCGAGTACCCAAGTTACCCATCCCAGCCCTCCTTGTCCCTTGAGTCAAATACTTCAGAAGACCAGGACAGCCCCTCATTCCCAACATGGATGCTGTACCCACCCGACCCGAGTACCCAAGTTACCCATCCCAGCCCTCCTTGTCCCTTGAGTCAAATACTTCAGAAGACCAGGACAGCCCCTCAATCCAAACATGGATGCTGTACCCATCCCACCCGAGTACCCAAGTTACCCATCCCAGCCCTCCTTGTCCCTTGAGTCAAATACTTCAGAAGACCAGGACAAACCCTCATTCCCAACATGGATGCTGTACCCACCCGACCCGAGTACCCAAGTTACCCATCCCAGCCCTCCTTGTCCCTTGAGTCAAATACTTCAGAAGACCAGGACAGCCCCTCATTCCCAACATGGATGCTGTACCCACCCGACCCGAGTACCCAAGTTACCCATCCCAGCCCTCCTTGTCCCTTGAGTCAAATACTTCAGAAGACCAGGACAAACCCTCATTCCCAACATGGATGCTGTACCCACTCCATCCCACCCGAGTAGCCGAGTTACCCGTCCCAGCCCTCCTTGTCCCTTGAGTCAAATACTTCAGAAGACCAGGACAGCCCCTCATTCCTAACATGGATGCAGTACCCACCCCACCCGAATAGCCAAGTTACCTGTCCCAGCCCTCCTTGTCCCTTGAGTCAAATACTTCAGAAGACCAGGACAACCCCTCATTCCTAACATGGATGCTGTACAGTCTCATTAAAATCAGATCTTAGTTCCCGCTATTGCTTAACAAAGATCTGAGGACATCCCATTACTGGTCATGTCAGGGCGACCTTTCATCTGACCAATCAAAGCTTCGCTTACCAGATCATGAAGGTGACATGAATGTGTTTTTTAATCATGCAACCTTGAAAACGTAAACACGGGGTATTCCGAAAGACAGTTATGGCCCATACGACAGATTCCGTCAAAATTATTGTCTATCTCTCACTTCCGTGGGATAAACATTTGAAAAGAGGAGGCATTGCACAGTATGTGGGAAGCACTGCCATACAATCTCAGTTTTCAAAATTTTAATCGAGAACTGTGTCAACCTACTTTTCAAGCGTAGTCTGAAATGGAAGTCGCCCGGTTGAAATGAGTGCCTTAAAGCTCGAGAAAGCTGCTTTCTAATTGGCTGATGTCGACTTCTTGTTAGTCATTTCAGAGGTCGGTCAAACTCAGCGAAAGGTCGTTCTGACATGACCCGTAATGGGGTGTCCTCAGATCTTTGTTTAGCGGCAGCAAGAACTATGATCTGATTTTAATGAGATTGGGATGCAGTACCTACAACAATCGACATGAATATTTGATTGTTGTAACAGGTTGACAGCAGACTCAGCAGCTCCGAAGATGTTGACACCGGCGACCGCCTCAACTTCAGCTACTCTGACGTGATGGATGACGACATGACCTTCCTTAAATCTGCTCTCAACCAGTCCCCAGAGGAAGTTTTCCAGGACGTCTCCGACCGGAGAGTCAATGATGAGTGGAGGGCTGGAAAGTCCGACAGTGTGAGGTTTGGGGACACGCGATGGGAAGATATCCGGTGGGAAGACCGGCGGGGCGGGTTACCTGAAGAGGGAGACGGAGGGTCAGGGGTGCCATCTGCCGCGATGGACTCGGAAGTGACGTACGCCAAGCAATTGGTGGATGAAGGCAACAACAAGGAGATGGCGGGGTTTGTCCGAGAGACGGTGACGAGACCCAGGTCCGTACTCACCAGCAATGATACAACGCTTTCACGCAGTAGAAACAAGGTCAGTGTTAAATTGTTTCTGTGAATATTCTCCCTTGGGGCATAACAAAACCTTCTCATGTTCTTTCAGTGTATGGGGCGGTCGGGTAGCCTAGTGGTTAAAGCGTTTGCTCGTCACGCCGAAGACCCAGGTTCGATTCCTGACATTTCTGGTGCCCCCCAGCCGTGATATTGCTGTAATATTGCTAAAAGCAGCATAAAACCATACTCACTCACTCACTCTTTCAGTGTATTACTGTGTGTTATTATTGACACAAATTTCTACTCACTCACTTTAATGACAAACAATCATTTGATTGAAAACAGATAGATTGTTTGGATCAATTAACGTTCCTGGCGTATCAACTCCCTTCCAAGCACGTGACACCTTAGTTACACTCTCGGTAACATTGCTGTCACCAGTGTTGGCGCGGCCATTACAAGAATCTTGAAATTTGGCCTCTAACCCCAAAATGTAGTAACGTTCATACCTTTGTTTATTTTTTTTGGAATGCCATCATTGTTCATTTTGAAAAGGTTGACGGCGGACAATTTTTTCCAGATGAGTTTACTTTGTGGTCTGTAAAATCAGATTGGTTCGAGATTGCAGACTTACAGAAAATCAACCAACTTCTCCCTTACATTCTTACTATATCAATTACATGATAGATTTAATGAAATAGAAATTCAAATTGACAACCAAGGAAAGTAATTTAGCAGGGGTAAGTGTATTCGGCGTCACGACAGTCGTAACTTGTTTGTAAACATAACGGTCATTCAGTTGAGAGTTCAACTCCAAGCATGGTTGCGGCCACCTATCATAGTGGGTAGTTTTGACTGTGGCAGCGATACTATAGAGAGCTCGGCGAACAGGCTATCGCTGTGAGGAGCTTGCTGGCGTATCAAGCTCTTCTTGTAATGGCCGCGCCCACACTGGTGGTAGCGATGTTACCGAGAGTGTAACGAAGGTGTCACGCTGGGAAGGAGTTTGCTGGGGTATCAAGCTCCTTCCCAGCGCGTGACACCTTCGTTACACTCTCGGTAACATCGCTGCCACCAGTGTGGGCGCGGCCATTACAAGAATCTTGAAATTTGCCCTCCAACCCCATATGTAGTAACGTTTATACTTTTGTTTATGTATTTGGGAATGCCGTCATATTTCAATTTGAAAAGGTTTACGAATGACCATGTTTTCCAGATGAATTTTACTTTGTTGTTTTAATGATCAGATTGGTTTCGAGATTGCAGACTAACGGAAAATCAACCAACTTCTCCCTTACATTCTTCCTATATCAATAACATGATAGTTTTAATGAAATAGAAATTCAAATTGACAACCAAGGAAAGTAATTTAGCAGGGGTAAGTGTATTCGGCTTCACGACAGTCGTCACTTGTTTGTAAACATAACGGTCATTCAGTTGCGAGTTCAACTCCAAGCATGGTTGCGGCCACCTATCATAGTGGGTAGTTTTGACTGTGGCAGCGATACTATAGAGAGCTCGGCGAACAGGCTATCGCTGTGAGGAGCTTGCTGGCGTATCAAGCTCTTCTTGTAATGGCCGTGCCCACACTGATGGCAGCGATGTTACCGAGAGTGTAACGAAGGTGTCACGCGCTGGGAAGGAGCTTGCTGGCGTATGTGCAAAGGGAAGTAACTCCCAACTACAGTGCGAACCAGGATTATGGCAAGAAATGTTTTGGATGCCAAGTTCTTCATTTATACAAACACAAAGTTTTGGGATTACTTCCTACCCCTTCCTCAGGTGTATGACAGGTGGAACAACATGATATACTGTAAACAGGGAACTTTTTGAGACCGTTTTATTATTGTGAGTTTTGCGAACGAGACTCAATCGCAAAAATTAAAAACGCAAAAATAAGTATAAATAATACATACATACTTTATTCATTGCAACACGTCATCAAATGTTGAAATCATCAACCAGAACCACAAGTTACTCTATAAGTTAAAAACACAAATGAATGCAGAATGGTCACACAATAGATCACAAATGACGGTGTAAACAGACCAGTCAGTGTCACTGTTGCCTCACAGTAATCCTGCCTTCTTCCAACCTCGCTTGATTGCGTCAGTGTTCTTTGCAATTTTGTCCACAATTTTGTTTGCAGTCAAACTCACGGTCATGACTCTGAGTTGAGTCAATAATCGTATTTGATAATTGGTCGCAATCCCTTCCGGTGAACTTTCCGGCCAACTCAGATTAACTAGCTTCGGAGATAAGCTTTCTATTGTTTGGTAATCGAGAGGTCATCTCAACACGGCAACTCGCAAAAATATCTCGTCGCAGTATTGTCTTTGGTGTGGTATTCGCAATATTTTAACGGCGCAGAAATAAAGCTGTTTACAGTATATATAATATGCTAGTTATAATTAGATATGACCGCCTTTGTGGTCTAGTGGTAGAGCATCCGGAGCAGAAGGTCCGGGGTTCGATCCCCGACCGCGTCATACCAAAAGACGTTAAAATATGGTACTTATTGTTACCTGGCGCTCGGCATTAAGGGGCTAAAACAAGGACTGGTCGGCTGGGAGTCAGTATACTGTGTCTGAGTGGGGTATTTATGTTAAACTGCAGCATGGTATCAGTGTGCTAGCACTATAAATCGGCATAAGTCTGGACTAGTACAAGCAGCCACACAAACACACACACGAACATGCACATCACTATATAAGTGCAATAATCTTAGACACGACGTTAAACCCCATTTCACCTCACCTACAATTAGATATATATTAGTAAATTTTGATTGTAGCTTACAATGATCTTAGAATTCAACCACTTTGTGCAAGTGGATGGGGATTGTAGCCGAAATCTAAGATTTATAGTAATTGATTTGTGCAAGTGGGTCCAGGGAAAAGGCGGCAAGGCAATCCCTTAACTTGGGATTTCAATACTTTCCATTTTGTGGTGAAAATAGTCCATCTCAGTATACGCGACTTTTGGGTTTACATTCATTGAGAAATGACTGCAAAGAAATAAACCCATTCAGCCAATCAGATGTCAGGAATTTCCATATAAACACGCAAGATTACTTATACATGTTATGTAACTTGTAAAGACGTATATTCGTTCATGGAAAATTAGTAATAGTGTTATGATAGTCTTTATTGTCCTAATGAGTTGGGACAAGCATCTTATTCCAAGTCACTCGTCATAAGAAGCCTGTAAGGTTTTGGCAATCATAATTTGGAATGGGATCACCGCAAAGTATGATGTGATTACAAGTTGGATAAAAAATGTCTTTTCAGCATCCAGATTTAACAAGGTATATTGGACATGTTAGATGTTAGTCGATAATAATGAAGGGGTTTCATTACCTTGACGTTATTCCATGTCTTAGGGGCTGTGGGGTAGCCTAGTGGTTAAAGCGTTCGCTCATCATGCCAATGGCCAAAGTTTGATTCCCTACATGATACAATGATTGAAGCTCAAATCTGGTACTCCCCTCCATTATATTGCTGGAATATTTTAAATGCAGCGTTAATTATACCCACCCTTGTGCAGACATCAACCAAGGTGAGCTTCCGTTCCTCGGCCGACAGTTCCAGTGTTATCCGGCGGGAATCTCAGAAGAAGATGTTGGGATATGACTGGATCGCCGCTCTGCTGGACAATGACAAGGACGTGATTGATGAGTCGGAGGCTTACTTCGAGGACCTGAAGGAGTTCCGGCGAGTCAACCGAGAGGAATGCTCCAACATGGTCTACATGGAGTGAGTACTGTACAGTCAAGTCCCGTTAATCTGACATTGTGGGTTGCATATGATTATGTCGGATTAACGAGTATGTCGGATAAACGAAATTAGGTAGTATCAACGTTCGTGATTTGAAAATTTGACAACTACACGATAGATAATGATACGAACATGTAATAAAAAGGAAAAAGGAAATAATCATATTGTTGTGTTACATTGTTAGCGGAATATGTTTTCTAATCATGCAACCTCTAAAGTTTAACACAAAACTACTGTTACGAACTGTATGACTGATTCAAAATATTTTTAAAGCAAAGTCTGGAATGGAAGTCGCTAATTTGAAACGAGTGCCGCAATGCTTAAGAAAGCTGCTTTCTTAGTGGCTAATGTTGACTTCCTGTTAGTAATTTCGCGAAAGGTCGTTCTGACGTGACCTGTAATGGGATGTCCTCAGCAGTAGCGAGAATTTGTATCCGAGTTAAATGAGATTGAGGTAATCTAGGCATGTGATTAATCCTGTTTTGTTTATTTGAAGCAGTAATTGTTTAATGTTAAGCAAGTTTATCTCTGTAGTCGTTGAAATATGCAGCTACTCGCCGACTCGTCTCGCATCAAAACACGGGGCTGTGTACTCATAGGCGTGTGTCGGAGTCAGAGTGCCAGACTGTCGGTTTAACGGGTCTAAATAGCACTGATTAAATCAATCCCCATCTTATATGTCGGATAAAGCCGATTGTCGGATAAACGAGTGTCGAATTAACGAGACTTGACTGTATTATTTTTTGTTATTTACATCACAAAATGTCCAGAGAAGTAACCATGGTAACATTTAAAAAAACAAACCCTTTTGGTTGCAATTGTAGGTAGTATCCTTTATACAAAATAACAGGTTTGGGACATCCTATCCCTTCGCGTTATGTCACTGGATATAGGTGAGCTTCAGTATCTGTGGGATTCTGGGGTTTTATATTTGAAGTGGACCAGTGGGTAAAAATTCAGAACCATTTCAAATTTCTTGATTATCTTTATCTCATTTGTGATACTGGTATATGGGCTGATCATCTTTCTTTTTTTTAATTAATATTTTTTATTCCTGTATCCCTGTTACATATATATCTCTCAGAGCTCCAGATAAGCTTTTGGTGTTGTGGGTATTTTACGCATGCATTTTAAAATCATTGGGTATCAGTAATTCTATCTGGGTATTCAAATTTCTGTTACCCACTAGTTTTTACACATGTGGGTATTTAAGATAAATATTTAAAAACACTATTCATTTAGTCCCTGCAAACTGGTGCCGTGTGGGTTCGAGAGCTTTATAGGACTAAAAAATACCACGATACTTCCACAAGAAAGTGTGATGGCAAATGATCATGATGTAACTGTCATCATGGAGTTTGGCAAGGTTGACTGAATGTCCATTTATAATTTCAAAATAAGTTGCTGATTTGCTAATCGAATACGCAGGGTTACTTCACAATATTTTGATGATACACACAAGCAGCCAGGGGAACTACAGAGCTAAACATGAGGAAACAAAAGCCATGTAGATAAGATAGGGGCGGTCGGGTAGCCTAGTGGTTAAATCGTCCGCTCGTCACCCCGAATACGATTCCCGACGTGGGTACAATGTGTGAAGCCCATTTGTGGTGTCCCCCGCCATGATATTGCTGGAATATTGCTAAAAGCGGCGTAAAACCATACTCACTCACTCACTCACTCAAATCAAGATACAGGTATTTTGGGGGGAGTTTTTTTACAAGACAACACAAAGACAGCATTCACTCACCATTCACACATTAGATCAGGGATAATTCATAACTTTATAATGTAACATGTCAAAACAGCTTCTCTAAGTGGTAATTGGTATGTATTCTTATGCGAATAAACAATGATACATTGCCCATTTGATATTCAAGTCATTAAGACCCTTTTTACTAATATTTTTTCAATATAGTATCACATTTTTAAATCAACTGATCATCATAAGTGTTTATCCTGAGGACAACCTCTGTGGTCTAGAGCGTCCGCCCGGAGAGCGGAAGGTCCGGGGTTCGATCCCCGGCCGCGTCATACCAAAAGACGTTAAAAGATGGGACTTGTTGTTACCCTGTCTGGCGCTTGGCATTAAGGAGCTAAAACAAGGACTGGTCGGCTCGGAGTCAGTATACTGTGTCTGAGTGGGGTATTCATGGTATGGTATCTCAGTGTGCTAGCACTATAAATTGGCGTCAGTCCGGACTAGTACACGCAGCCACACGCACACACACACACATGCATGCACGTCGCTATATAAGTGCAATAATCTGGGACGCGACGTTAAACCCCATTTCACCTCACCGTTTATCCTGAAAGTGTGTGTGTTTTATTGTAGAGGTCCTGTGTCTCTGGCAGCTACCAGAGAGCCATCGCCGGTAGCCAAGGCTATCTCGGACACCAGTAAGTACAACACTGCTGAGTCAGCAATTCTTGCAGATGTTAAACCCATGGAGGCAAAGTTATAGGTGATATTATTTTTAGTAATCATTGAATACTGTAAATCTTGAAATGAATGCGAACGTGAATATAATACGAGTGGTCCTTGGTCGCATTAATTAACTTCGCATTTATGTCTCCAAATGACTATCCAACAAAAAGACTCGCTGCACACTTTGGATTGCGGAAATACCAACTTGAATATAAACACAGACACAGTTTATTGAGCAGCAGTTGTAACAAGTATATAACAATGTTAGTCAAAGAATAGGGATTACCCAATAGGCATCTGGTGAGTTATCACTGCTGTGGTCAAGAGTTCCACCCACTCGTGTCAAGCTTGTTGACGCCTTCTCCGCATACCAATCAGTGAACTGTTGTTGGTTAAATTATGTTATTGCCTTTGAGCTTCCTTAATGCCAGTCAACAGAGTAAACGTATAAACTGTGTGTTGTTTTTAGGAAAACACTGTTTATTGTTATTACAGAAGTACTTTACTCAGTGCTAATAAGCAGTGCTATTTGTGTTTGATTGGATTAAGGTAAGGATATGTATTCCACTGGGTATGGACTGGAGAGAGTCACATTGATATTGAGTCACATTTTTGGCTAGGGGTCAGCAGTCGTATTAATTTAGAGACGCATTAATTTCCAGATTTACAGTATTACCGTATTCGACGTAATAAGCACCCAGGGTCCTCTCAAAATTAGAAATAGTGGGCTCTTATTAGAATATTTTTTTGGTGAAAAAAGCAGAGTTAAAAGAGAAATTTCGTGGTTTATGCTGACAGCCTGAAATGTTTATATACGAGAGATATATGTTTCCAATATTTAATTGCCCATAATTAAGGGTGCATATAACACACGAGTGCGTATTATACGCGAATAAATAAGTCTTGTGTACAATGATCAATCGGAAGGGGTGTTAATTTGGATTGTTTACTAGCTAATATCTTACCAAATAGCGCCGTGGGCGCTTATTAGAGCAGGGTCCTTATTACGTCGAATACGGTACCTTTGGTTTATTCATGCCAGTACACTCTTCTGAAAAGACGTACTATGTTTAACATAGAGAATTAACTCAGAACTGCAGGTTACATGACAGGATGGTGTAGTCAGCCTGTCATTGTACCGTGCATCACAGAATCAGACTTTGGTTTGTCGGGGCCAGGATGCTGGATATTTGTATTGCATTTAGCACAGTTTTCGCACTCCTTGTTAACAAACTTTCCGACACTCCAGAAGTGAAGCCCTACATGGTGAATGAGCGGCTGTTCACGGTGCCCATCAAGAAGTGCCTGTTGGAGGACTTCAAGGGGGGCACGGAGGAGGAGGGGGAGCAGAAGGAGCCAAAGAAAAAACCTACAGCAGAGGACCCGAGATTTGTCAGGTAACCATAGAAACAGGATGATTTAAATGTTACCTGAAACTCAGATCGTGAAACAGGTTTGAAAAGGTCTTGAATTAGGAGTCCTGCTTCGAATTGTGAGTTCTGCCTTGAATTAGGATTTCTGCCTTGAGGTAGGAGTTCTGTCTTGAATTAGGAATCGGCCTTGAATTAGGATTTCTGCCTTGAGTTAGGAGTTCTGTCTTGAATTAGGAATCGGCCTTGAATTAGGATTTCTGCCTTGAGTTAGGAGTTCTGTCTTAAACTAGGAATCGGCCTTGAATTAGGATTTCTGCCTTGAGTTAGGAGTTCTGTCTTGAATTAGGAATCGGCCTTGAATTAGGATTTCTGTCTTGAGTTAGGAGTTCTGTCTTGAATTAGGAATCGGCCTTGAATTAGGAGTATTGCCTTGTATAAGGGTTCCTGTCTTGAAAAGGCCTTGAATTTGGCAACCATTGCACTTAGATGATTGTTTAGAAGTATTTTGTTTCTCTAAATTATGTGTGATGACATTTAGCAAAAGATACTTTGTTGATAAAATATATTGAGACACTTTATGTGTAGACATGGTTATTTCTATACATGGAGTTGTTTGGGTATGACGGACAGTAAGAATGTTCAAATAAATCTGTTGGAGGGCACACCTGGGACTCACTTTCAGCCTTGTAAATTGTGATCATTGCGACTCAACTGTGTCACTCAGTGATTTATTTTCAACAAAATTAACATGACGACCAAACACATTGTTTCACAAATTATTTGCTTTCTTGTAGCAATTTTGCTTTCCGTGTGTTGCAGGGTGAGCATCCCCCGCTCCACCCTAGAGACGCCCTACCGCTTCAAGCCACATCGCAGAAACAGCTTCGACCCCACAGATTCCTGTGGACTAAGGGAGGTAAGTCATCATCAACTTATACAAGACACGGCATAAAGAGGCCTGATTCAGACCGTATGAAGCCTCTTTTCCTCAATTTCTACATTTTCGAAACTGTACGCTTCTGGTCAGAGTAAGAATACAAATAACATTAAATGATTACTTTTCAAAACCTTTCTGAAGAGAGGGGCGGTCGGGTAGCCAAATGGTTAAAGCGTCACGCCAAAGACCCGGGTTTGATTCCCGACATTGGTAGAATGTGTGAAGCCCATTTCTGGTGTCCCCCGCCATGATGTTGCTGGAATATTGCTAAAAGCGGCGTAAAACCATACTCACTCACTTTCTGAAGAGAACTGGAAACAAATGGTTTTAATGACATGGTAACGTTTCACAGTAACTTAACTTGGCCGGAAGGAAAAACATCTATTTTTGTTAATTATAAGCTACATTTGGGAACTTAATGATTGTTGATCCAAACACAAAGTGGTAGGACGGCCTTATGAACATACGGGTAGCTACTTTGCAGGTTTTAATACTTTGCATAATCACAAATGCTTGATCAAAATGAAATTTAAAAAACCCGAAAAAAATGATGATAGATAGATTTTATATTACAGTCTCACTCCAATACATTGTTTTGGGAGAATGTTTTAACAAGAAACACTCCGAAATTGACCTCATTTAATTAGGAAAATTGATACTGGCAACAAAATCACATTCAATTTTTTCACTAGGCTTGGGCTTTCAAACAATGCCTGACAATGTTAGCCTTTCCTAGAGTGAGTGAGTGAGTATGGTTTTATGCCGCTTTTAGCAATATTTCAGCAATATCATGCAGGGGGACACCAGAAATGGACTTCACACATAGTACCGGCGGGTAAAACCTGGGTCTTCGGTGTGATAAGCGAACACTTTAACCACTAAGCTACCCCACTGCCCGCTTTCCTAGAGCATCTGGAGTGTAAGATTCACAACTATGGGAAAACTGTGATAGCTTCTTGGAACATAGAGAGAACATACATTGAGGTACTATTGACTAATGTTAACAGGGCCCGTTTGCACAAAGCAATCTTAACACTACAATGATCATTACTCCCATACTCAACACAGACTTAAGATAGTTGTAGCGCTGAGAGTGCTCGGCTACAGACAGCAATCTTGTAAAACTTAAATCAACTTTTCCTTGCATCCAAACTCTCAGATACTTATATGTGCTACTATAGTCAATAATGTTATCGCCAATGTTGAATACAAATGTTCTTCTGTTCATCCATCAGAAATATTGGTGAGTGTGGTATTAACAACACGATCAATGTTAAACTATCTGCCTATGTGTTCCAGCACTGCCTTCTGGGGTGGGAGAACTCCCGGCCGGCCATGATGCCAGCCGCATCCAACCTCGGCATCAGCGACGCCACGCATGGCATTACATCCAAGATGGCTACGGTAATTAAACTGCACACTTAAAGACATACTGTTCCTCTCACGTCGCCTATCTTACTAAAAAAACACGTTTCTTTCATATTACAATAGTTAATCTGTAATGGCTATTTTTTTATTTAACTTTAGTTAATCTGTCGTGGCGATTCTTTCAAATTTGCTATAGTTAATCTGTCCTGGCATTTAAGTAGTTTATATCCAGAGGATCAATTTATCAGTTATGTGATATTTTATATTATTGGACCAAATATTTGATACTGAATGGAGTATTGATGAAGATTGTGATACCATTGTCTGAGCTGGTGCGTGATGGGTGATACCATTGTCTGAGCTGGTGGGTGTGATGGGTGATACCATTGTCTGAGAGGTGGTGGGTGTGATGGGTGATACCATTGTCTGAGCTGGTGGGTGTGATGGGTGATACCATTGTCTGAGAGGTGGTGGGTGTGATGGGTGATACCATTGTCTGAGCTGGTGGGTATGAAGGGTGATACCATTGTTTGAGCTGGCAGGTGTGATGGGTGATACCATTGTCTGAGCTGGTGGGTGTGATGGGTGATACCATTGTCTGAGCTGGTGGGTGTGATGGATGATACCATTGTCTGAGAGGTGGTGGGTGTGATGGGTATTACCATTGTCTGAGCTTGTAGGTGTGATGGGTGATACCATTGTCTGAGCTGGTGCATGTGATGGGTGATACCATTGTCTGAGCTGGTGCATGTGATGGGTGAAACCATTGTCTCTGAAGTGGTGGGTTTTACCAATGAACATCTGATTTTGATGTTATAGGAAAGAAGTACTGCTGAAATGAGTATTAAACTCACTCACTCACTCACTCACTCCATTCTTCAGACTTTGGCTGATGCAGAGCGACTGGCAAGCTCGTACGAGTGGGCATTCCCCCAGGCCACCACCCACCGGCCCGACATGTTCCCCTCCTGGAGGAAGGGCTACCAGGACTCCGTGGTCAACCTGTCCAACGCCAATGTCACGCGGCCTCCAGGGTGTGCCAACTTCACCCAGTCCCTGGGGTCCTCCAGTCTGTCAGCTGGGTCTGAGGGACTTCGGAAGACCACGAATGATCTGCTGAACTCGACGTACTCCATGATGTATGAAATGGAGAGGCTGAAGAGGGAGAGGGCCATGGCCCCTCAGACTCAGGCTAAAGGCGTTGCATAGGACAGCTCAATGTAGAAACAGTTACCGTATTTGACGTAATAAGTGCCCCGCTCTAATAAGCGCCCATGGCGGTATTTGCTAATATATTGGCTAGTGAACAATCCCAATTAGCACCCCTTCCGATTGATCAATGTTCACAAGACTTATTGATTCGCGTAGATTACGCACTCGTGTGTTATATGCACCGTTAATTAAGGGCAATTAAATTCTAGAAAAATATATCTGTCGTACATAAACATTTCAGGCTGTCAGCATAAACCACGAAATTTATCTTTAAACTTTTTTTCACCAAAATAATATTCTAATAAGAGCCACTTATTTCTAATTTTGAGAGCGCCCTGGGTGCTTATTACGTCGAATACAGTATTTAATGGGTTCTTGTGATTATTTTCATCAAGGGTCTTCTTTAATCTTAAATTTTTAACATTTTGGTTATCAGTTGGACCCCTAGAGGCTCTTTCATAAATGAAGGGAACAGAATTCTGCTGTTTGAAAAATGCAAGTTTAAATCTGACATTATTACTCATTACTGGTTCTCTTCACACAATGTGATGTGAATACAGGTTTGATTTTAATGTCGAGTATCCAAATGTAGAGGGATAGGTAACGTTTAACATGCTTGAAGGTGGCAAATAGTGTTGAGTGTACAGGAATGTTGTGCTGATGGCAATGACAAGGGGCTCTCTCTAACTGAATTCTGTTGTCATGTGTGATGGCATTAGATTCCTGCCCTGAAGTGGGGACACTATTGCAGGAGGCTGGTCTCTCGAGAGTTTGTTGTAGGGGGTGTCTATTTTTGTGTTCGCTAAATGAAGACTTGATGTAAACACTTGTTAATATTGCTGTTCTGTTTGGACATATTTAATTAAAATAGAGCCATATTTATTCTGTTTTTAACAATAAAATGTGTATAATACAACTGTGTTTGTTGTTTGCTTCTGGACAGAGGATTCTAACTTTGAGGATCTTGAAGACTGTTGTATCTTTGAATTCAGTGGTATGGTTCTAGATAGGGGAAATAGAGACATAGGGATCTCAGCAAGGGGAAATAGGGACCTCAACCAGGGGTGTAGCTAGGGGACATAGGGACCTCAACCAGGGGCGTAGCTAGGGGACATGGGGACATAGTGACCTCAACCAGGGGTGTAGCTAGGGGACATAGTGACCTCAACCAGGGGTGTAGCTTAGGGAAATAGGGACATAGTGACCTCAACCAGGGGTGTAGCTAGGGGACATGGGGACATAGTGACCTCAACCAGGGGTGTAGCTAGGGGACATGGGGACATAGGGACCTCAACCAGGGGTGTAGCTAGGGGACATAGTGACCTCAACCAGGGGTGTAGCTTAGGGAAATAGGGACATAGTGACCTCAACCAGGGGTGTAGCTAGGGGACATGGAGACGTGACCTCAACCAGGGGTGTAGCTAGGGGACATAGGGACATAGTGACCTCAACCAGGGGTGTAGCTTAGGGAAATAGGGACATAGTGACCTCAACCAGGGGTGTAGCTAGGGGACATGGGGACATAGTGACCTCAACCAGGGGTATAGCTAGGGGACATAGGGACATAGTGACCTCAACCAGGGGTGTAGCTAGGGGACATGGGGACATAGTGACCTCAACCAGGGGTATAGCTAGGGGACAAAGGGACATAGTGACCTCAACCAGGGGTGTAGCTTAGGGAAATAGGGATCTCAGCCCGGGATGTAGCTTGGGGAAAGAGGGACCTCAGCCAGGGGTGTAGCTTGGGGAAATACTCAACCAGGGATGTAGCTTAGGGACATAGGGACCTCAACCAGGGGTATAGCTTGGGGAAATATGGAAATAGGGACCTGAGCCAGGGGACACAGGGACCTGAGCCAGGGTTGTAGCTTGGGATAATAGGGACCTCAGCCAGGGGTATAGCTTGGGGAAATACTCAACCAGGGGTGAAGCTTGGGTAAATAGGGACACAGGGACCTCAACCAGGGGTATAGCTTGGGGAAATATGGACATAGGGACCTCAGCCAGGGTTGTAGCTTGGGGAAATAGGGACCTCAGCCAGGGGTATAGCTTGGGGAAATACTCAACCAGGGGTGAAGCTTGGGTAAATAGGGACATTGGGACCTCAACCAGGGGTGAAGCTTGGGGAAGTAGGGACCTCAACCAGAGGTATAGCTTTGGGAAATGGGGAAATAGGGACCTCAGCCAGGGGACATAGGGACACAGGGACCTCAGCCAAGGATGTAGCTTGGGGAAATAGTGACATAGGGACCTCAGCCAGGGTGTAGCTAGGGTAAATAGTGACATAGGGACCTCAGCCAGGTTGTAGCTAGGGGAAATAGTGACATAGGGACCTCAGCCAGGTTGTAGCTAGGGGAAATAGTGACATAGGGACCTCAGCCAGGTTGTAGCTAGTGGAAATAGTGACATAGGGACCTCAGCCAGGGTGTAGCTAGGGGAAATAGTGACATAGGGACCTCAGCCAGGGTGTAGCTAGGCGAAATAGTGACATAGGGACCTCAGCCAGGTTGTAGCTAGGGGAAATAGTGACATAGGGACCTCAGCCAGGGTGTAGCTAGGGGAAATAGTGACATAGGGACCTCAGCCAGGGTGTAGCTAGGCGAAATAGTGACATAGGGACCTCAGCCAGGTTGTAGCTAGGGGAAATAGTGACATAGGGACCTCAGCCAGGGTTTAGCTAGGGGAAATAGTGACATAGGGACCTCAGCCAGGTTGTAGCTAGTGGAAATAGTGACATAGGGACCTCAGCCAGGTTGTAGCTAGGGGAAATAGTGACATAGGGACCTCAGCCAGGGTTTAGCTAGGGGAAATAGTGACATAGGGACCTCAGCCAGGGGTGTAGCTAGGCGAAATTGGGACTCAAGGAAATGCAGGCAAACACTTATAATGCTTGTCTAACACAAGCTGGGGCGACAATATGTATCTAATACAGGATATCACAAAGCTAACAGTTTGATCGCTATGATCAAACCCATATATCCTCAGAAACTAGTTCAACAAGCAACCCAAAATATCAAACTAACTCATTAATGACAAGTTTCACACTGGTAGCTGGGTCAACCTCGCAGGACGATGTAACTATAACAAACAAAAAATACACTTTGTATTTCTTTTATTCTATTTTTGTAACATATCAAAGTGTCAACAGTGGTACACCTGTATACACTGGAACTCTGATATATACACTGGTACATACACCGATATATATACACTGTGAACTATCAATACTGTTTGAAATATATAACTGTTGCTTGGTGATATGAGACAAATACTGATTCCCTATAATGTAGTATATATACTCCCTATAATATGTTTAAACAAAGATAAAACATCGTCCAGTCAACTTCAGTGTATGCATGACCAGATCGTTTAATACGAGTATCTAAATACATTTTGCCAGGGCTACGGTCAAACTTTTCCCAATCGGACAGTTTGTACCTATCTCTTGATTTCTACAGCGGGTACCCGGTAGGGTGGGTAATAGGGGTGTGGGTTCCCCCTAGTAAATTTGGTCTCGTCCCAGCCCTAATACAGACACTTATCAACAGGTTTGATTCATTTCTTCATATATATTGGCATCAAATGACAGATATGTGAGGAGTACCTAATTTCATCAATGTTTCTGTCACAATGAGAATTGTGTTATACTAGATAACATTCTCAGATCAACAGTTAAATCAACTTGTACTGTTTTACATTATAGATGCCTCATGAGATCAAGTTGTTTACTTAACAATTATTTCCATCTCTTTCCACTAAAAGGGGCGGTCGGGTAGCCTAGTGGTTAAAGCATTCGTTCGTCACGTCGAAGACCCGGGTTCGATTCAATGGGTACAATGTGTGTAGCCAACTTCTGGTGTTCCCCGCCATGATATTGCTGGAATATTGCTTAAAGTGGCGTAAAACCAAACTCACTCATTCACTTTCCACTAAAAACTAATACTGCTAACTAACAGTCACTTCCAAAGAATTAGAAAACAATTTTTAAAAAATGGATAAAAGTGTTTGGATTATAAACACAAACAGCAGTAGAGGGCAGTCATATGAAAACAGATTCGTTTGTTTGTTTGTTTGTTGCTTAATGCTGCAATCAGCAATATTCCAGCAACATGATGGTGGTCTGTAATTAATCAAATCTGGACCAGACAATTCAGTGCTTGACATCATTAGCATTGATCCGCACATTTGGGATACAATGACATGAGAAGGTGTTTACACACGACTGACTACAACCAGGCCATAACACACGCCAATTTGACTTTTATTCAGGTGAGCTAACACACTTGACACAACCCAGGTTTAAACTGGATTCAAGTGTATATTGAAGACAATGAACATCAACATCAGTCGGAGGCCTGCACTGGGTTGCCGATGTCGTCGTCGCTCCTGCAGAGTCCAGGGAAGAAGTAGAGGGATTTCCGCAACGTCGTCACACACTGAGACACTTGCATCACGTTGCCACGGGTAACCAGGAGATTAACCTGTCAAGAGGTTGCATAGACTTGTTAGTCCAGTCAAAATATAACTCCATAATTTCACTTTTATAGTCAGTTAATTCCCCTGCCTTGGGAAGATGAGCTTTTGTTTACATATAATGTCCAATATGTTTGCAGGCTCATGGTTTCTTGTCTAAACATTTGGATTACCTGTTTCCCAATTCAATTTGTTACCCGCTTAGAGTGAGTGAGTGAGTTGGGTTTAACGCAGCTTTTAACAGTATTCCAGTTATATCACGGCGTGTCAGCTTAATGTGGGAGGAAAGCCCGAACTGATGCAGGTCTCAGACGTTTACCACTTCGGTGAAACCCACAAGCACGGGTATGGTGCTGACAAACCTAGAAACATAATCGGGGCGAACCGGGATTCGAACCCACAATCATAGGTTTCTGGCGTGCCCAAGGGATGCAACTCTGCACAGCGAATCGCAGCGCCTTAGACGACTGGGCCACCCGTGCCCCTGTTACCTGCTTAGAAAATAATGTTGACAAAATCAGGAAACTCCGATATCTCAGAGAGGGACCCAAGACCTCGACCTACAACTTACCTTAGTCATCATGTCGGACAGGTCCTTCCGGTAGGCGAAGCGCTGGAAGATGTAGGTGATGGCCTGGACAAACCATGTCCCTCGCCGCGTGTTGCGGTACGACATGTACTCTGGAAGTGTGAGATGTACCATTACGACTTAGATATAGATATGTGGGTGGGCGGGTTGGTTGGTGAGTGAGTGAGTGGGTATGAGGGTAGGTGAGTGAGTGAGTGAGTGAGTCGGTGGGTGGGTATGAGGGTAGGTGAGTGAGTGAGTGAGTGGGTGGGTATGAGGGTAGGTGAGTGAGTGAGTGAGTGAGTGAGTCGGTGGGTGGGTATGAGGGTAGGTGAGTGAGTGAGTGAGTGAGTCGGTGGGTGGGTATGAGGGTAGGTGAGTGAGTGAGTGAGTGGGTGGGTGGGTATGAGGGTAGGTGAGTGAGTGAGTGAGTGAGTGAGTGAGTTGGGCTTAACACTGCTTTTAACAGTATTCCAGTTATATCCCAGTGTGTCAGCTTAATGTGGGAGGAAAGCCCGAAGTGATACAGGTCTCAGACGTTTACCACTTCAGTGAAACCCACGAGCACGGGTATGGTGCTGACAAACCTAGAAACATAATTGGGGCGAACAGGGATTCGAACCCACAATCATAGGTTTCTGGCGTGCCCAAGGGGCGCAACTCTGCACAGCAAATCGCGGCGCCTTAGACGACTGGGCCACCCGTGCTCCAACATTCAGCTGCAGAAAACTGAACATTTGGTAATTCCGTAATTGGTACCGATACTACTGATACTAAAAATAATGACAGTAGCTCAGTGACGCCTCACAAAGTCTATGCCAGCATTCATATCCAAATATGGTCTGTACGAATATTGACAACTTGATAATTGTCCACTGCAATATCTAATCTGCAACAACAAAATTCTTTTTAAATATCGTAATATATTTGATTTAACCATTTCTACCTTATAATGGAGACACACAAATTCAGCAAATTTCGATCAACCAATTCAAGAGAAAAGAAAAAACATGTTTTTGAAAAATCGTCTGTGTTTAGCAAAGTAAAACGCCTTTCGTGTAGCCTTCATCTTGTCATTATTATGCACAGGTTCAGCTGTCTTTGCCTTTTGGTTCCTGAGAATGTTGAACACGACATTAGCTCAAGAACACGTAATCTAGCAAGTACTTTCTACAATCTTACAAATTAATACCATGGGATTGGGAATCGGAACTTTGTATTTCCATTATAGGGCACCTCTATGAACAGAGTCAAAATCAAACTTGTTGCCATGGAAACAGAAAAAAATATAAATTCTAAACACCCCTAAGTAACTAAAGGCATCATTTGACAAACTGGTCTTTGTGTACGTAAAGTGTCATGAACGAATACCTATTACTTTTTGAGATATGGTCCAGACAAACGCACTTGTCCAGACAAACTTGTTGTCATGGAAACTGGAATTTAAAAAAAAAATATCCTTCCTAGCAAAAGGCACCACTTCAGCCCTTAATTAATACATGTACCAAGTTTGGATGAAAAATGTTGAGTAGTTTTTTTGTTCGGAAACGACACCTACCTCTGTTTCAGCTAAGTCTAACATGTTTCCGTGGAAACATGGAAAAATCAAAATTTGAAAAATCCCTGAATAATATAGGGCACAACATCAGCCCTTGGTTAACACATGTACCAGGTTTGGATGAAAAGTATTTCAGTTTTCAAATTGTGCTCTGGAAACGACACCACTCTTGAGACTAAGTCCAAACTGTTTCCATTGAAATGGAGAAAAGTCAAAATGCCAAAAATCTGCAAATACTAAAGGGCACCATTTTAGGATCTGTTTGGTACATCTGGCAAGTTTTGTTGAAAGATATTGAACAATTTTTTAGTTGTGCTTCGGATGGATGAACAGACAGACAGACAGACAGAGAGACGAGGCATCATATGCCAGGGGGATAAAAAGTCTACTTTCAGTACCACTCTCCTACCCAGAGTTCCATGCGGCCGGGAGCCAGCTAGCATAGTACCTCTGCCACAGGCCAGCGCCATGTGACGATTCATCACATCTTTCACAGTCCATTCAAGATATTGCACATGCTTTTCATCCGTTTCATGTTTGACAAGTCTACACATTTTCATAAACAAATGGCAAAGAATGGTTAACTTTCATTGAGAAAGTATGCAAATTCGTAAAAATCTACTTGTTTTTGCGTAGTTATCCTATGTTTACACTGGTTTTACGGCTCCACGTGCTGTCATCGAAGCCCAATGGAGAGCTAGCGACACAGTCACTTTGATGCATAAATATATATTGTCATGCAACTCACTGTCGCAGTTGTAGTAGCATATCTATATAGTTATGCAAAACAATATGTAAAGCGCCCCCCAAATACTTGCATTAGTCCGTTCTATACTGATTTCTGAAAAAGCGCGTTTGTTTACAAACAAGAGAAAAGTCCGGTCACGTGATATGCAAATTAGCCTGTGGCAGTGGTGTTATGCTGAGTCACCAGTGTTTCAGTACCTGGGGTAGTTGCAAATGCCACAAAGACATCCGCTCCTTTGGGCACCCTTGTCTCTGAGCATGCGTCTGCCACGGTATCACTGGGCTGGGAAATCGCCACACCCTTCAAGGACTTCACCACGCCCTCCATGTTTTTGTTCTGTTCTCTCAGTCTGATGTCGCCGTGTGCTGGGTCCTCCTGCTGGTCGGGGGGGAGGGCCACGCCCATGTCACACTTGTCTGCAGCACAGGGAGAGTTGAGGTTATTCCGGCTTAAGGAGGGTTAGCTTACTGGTTAAAGAGTTTGCTCGGCACTCCTGGGTGTGTGTCAAAGTTGATTCATAGAATACTGGAAATAACCACAATGATAAGCAGTGACCGAAAGGAAAAGTCTGTCTGTTTCAGATATCCCAGCCATCTTCCCGAGGCAAGTGAGTTAACTGAACTTGCCGAACTAGGCTGGTATTATGGAGTTACATTTTGGCTGGACTAACGAGTCTATGCATAGTCCAATCAAAATCGCGCACCGAAATCGAAATCCGGTTCGTAAAGTGTCATGCGGATTTCCGTCGACTGCAGGATTTGCAAAACATGTGCACCGCTAACTCATTGTCAACAGATATTTTCAAAATCTTTTCATGCTTTTAATCAAGGTGCTCCGTTACTTGATGCACTTTGCAATGTAAGACTCGTTTTATCACCATATAGATCTTGATTATCAATCAGATCATCTTGACTGGGCGCCACCGTTTTGTTTGAAGCAAATGCAAGTGATATGAGAGGTTGAATCTGATTGGTCAATAGGAGAGGCATAGAAAGGACATAACTCGTAATAGCCACTGGTGGCGCAACGATTGAGCCCAGGAATTCCAGCCTAGTTCGGCAAGGGTGGAAACTGGACTTTTAAAGTCAGTTAACTCTCTTGCCTCGGAAAGATGCCCCCCCCCCCCCCCCCCCACTGACGATCAAATGGTCGGTTCGCATTTATTATAAAAGTCCAGTTTCCACCCTTGCCGAACAAGGCTGGAATTCCTTGGCTCGATCGTAGTGCCACCAGTGGCTATTACCAGTTATGTCCCTTCTAAGCCTCTCCTATGAACCAATCAGATTCCACCTCTCGTATCACTTGCATTTGCTTCAAACAAAAGGCGGTGCCAAGTCAGGATTATCTGCTCGATAATCAAGCTCTATTTTGTGATAAAACGTCAAATCACATGAGCACCTTGTTTAAAAACATGAAAAGAGTTTGAAAATATCTGTTGACAATGAGTTGGCGACCGCGGTGTACATGTTTTGCAAATCCTGCAATCAACCGAAATCTGCATGACAGTTTACGAACCGGATTTCGATTTTCGTTGCACGATTTTAATTGGACTATGCATAGACTCGTTAGTCCAGCCAAATTGAAACTCCATAATACCAACCAAGTTCGGCAAGGGTGGAAACTGGACTTTTATAGTCAGTTAACAAACTTGCCTCGGGAAGATGGTGAATCTCCAGGTATTGCTAATGAGTGAGTGAGTGAATGAATATGGTTATACGGTTTTTAGCAACATTCCAGCAATATCACGGCGGGGGACACCAGAAATGGGCTTCACACATTGTACCCATGTTTGGAATCGAACCCGGGTCTTCGGCGTGACGAGCAAATGCTTTAACCAATAGGCTACCCGACCGCCCCGTATTGCTAATGAACATACAGAGGATATTATCTGAAAATGGGGGAAGTGCTGCTGCTTGAACATACTTCCCCGACATGCCTGGATAAAAAACAGCTTGGGTTTTCCTGCTAGTTGTTTGCAGTTCTCGTTGTCGAAGAGCGTCGTGATTTCCATGATGTCTGCCACTTGTCCATCGACGCCGTACACTCCCCCGCCCGAGCCGTGGGACAAGAGGAAGCAGATGAAACACTCCTGCTGGCCTTGCTGCATGGTGTCCCGTACCTTCCTCACTGCCTTCAGGATCCCCTGCATTCAAATATTGATAATGTTTGTTTGTTTTTTTACGCCACACTCAGCACTATTCCAGCTACCGTATTCGACGTAATAAGCGGCCCATTCTAATAAGCGCCCACGGCGATATTTGCTAACATATTGGCTAGTGAACAATCCCAATTAGCACCCCTTCCGATTGATCAATGTAGACAAGACTTATTTATTCGCGTATAATACGCACTCGTGTGTTATATGCACCGTTAATTATTGGCAATTAAATTCTGGAAAAATATATCTGTTGTATATAAACATTTCAGGCTGTCAGCATAAACCACAAAATTTATCCTTTAACTCTGTTTTTTTTCACCAAAATAATATTCTAATAAGAGCCCCCTATTTCTCATTTTGAGAGCACCCTGGGCGTTTATTACGTTGAATACGGTATATGACGGCGGTCTGTAAATAAGACCAGATGGACCAGACAATCCAGTGATTGACGTCATGCACATCGATCCACGCAATTCGAATATGATGACTGCATCAACCGAGTCAGCGAGCCTGACCACCTGATCCCGTTAGTCGCCTCTTACGACAAGCATAGTCGCCTCTTACAACCAGCATGGGTTGCTGAAGACCTATTCTAACCCATATTGATAATGAACAGTAGGTGGGGGAGCGAGTGAGGTTTAATGCTGTCTTGAACAGTATTTTAGTTATATCACAGCGTGTCTGGTTGATGGGGGAGGAAAACCTGAAGTGATGCAGATCTCGGATGTTTACCACCTTTGTAAAAGCCACGAGTACGGGTATAATGCTGACAAACCTAGAAACATAATCGGGGTGAGGGGCGGTCGGGTAGCCTAGTGGTTAAAGCGTTCGCTTGTCACGCCGAAGAACCGGGTTCGATTCCCGACATCGGTACAATGTGTGAAGCCCATTTCTGGTGCCCCCCGCCGTAATATGGCTGGAATATTGCTAAAAGCGGCGTAAAACCATACTCACTCATTCACTCACTAATCGGGGTGAACTGGGATAACCCCAGTTCCCTACAAATCATTAAACCCCAACACAACCATGAAGTCACTGATTACCATTGTGCTATTATCATAATTATCCCTAAAATGTTACATTTATCATGACTAGTTTATTTAAGAAATAAATGACGAGTTGGACAAATAATAACAACAATAATATCAACTCCCACTCGTCGTTTCTTTTTTCATATGGGATATCAATATTAGGCACAGTCTCTTTAAATATGTTGATGAAATGTACATGCTTTAAAATATTTACTCATATTTTAATAATGATGTCTCTGATTTTGGAGAAATGTTATGCACAGGTGGGTATTTGCTGCATATTCTCACAATCCTCACATAGATTACCTGTACCTTTTCTCACAATTCCAATTGTCATATCTCTCCCACTTTTGGATGCCATCGTTAGGCCATCACGTTTATCTGTGTTGCCCAGCTACAACTATGGGGAACAACTCACTAGACACTCCCCTCAAAAACATTTTCCAATATGCGACATCATCAAATTGCAAGCGCATGTTCGAATCTCCAAAAATGACGTAATGATAGAACAATGTTTTATTGTGAAATAAATCGCACTTTGTTTTTCAATGTACTTTGCGAGTTATTGGTAGCTTTCTCATATACATGATTATCTCATATCAAACTTACTTCTTTTGTTTCATTCTTATAAATGATAGTTTGGAAATGCATCTGTTTAAATAACACATCCAAAGATGTGGTGTCAGTTTCTGATCCTTTCCGGTCATCCAGTTTTTCCTTATTCGCTCTGGCTTGTGAGAAGTCTTCATTGCTGATAATCAAAACCATGCCTCTCGGGTTCCTCTGCATACTGTACACCTGTATGTAACAATAAACACCACCTGTATGTAACAATAACCACCACCTGTATGTAACAATAAACACCACCTGTATGTAACAATAAACACCTGCATGTAACAATACACACCACCTATTAATAACAATAAACATACCTGTATGTAACAATAAACACATGTATGTAACAATGAACACCACCTGTATGTAACAATAAATACCACCTGTATGTATCAATAAATACCACCTGTATGTATCAATAAACACCACCTGTATGTAACAATATACATTAAACACCACCTGATTGTAACAATAAACACCTGCATGTAACAATACACCCCACCTATAAATAACAATAAACACCACCTGTATGTAACAATAAACACCATTTGTATGTAACAATAAATACCACCTGTATGTAGCAATGAACACCACCTGTATGTAACAATATACAATAAACACCACCTGTATGTACCAATAAACACCACCTGTATGTACCAATAAACACCACCTGTATGTAACAATAAACACCACCTGTATGTATCGAAAAACACCACCTGTATGTAACATTAAACACCTGTATGTAACAATAAACAACACCTCTATGTAACAATAAACACCTCTATGTAACAATAAACAACACTGTTGTAGAACAAGATATATATACCACTCAAGTCCTTCTGCACACTGTACACTTGTATGTAACAATAAACACCACCTGTATGTACCAATAAACACCACCTGTATGTAACATTAAACACCTGTATGTAACAATAAACAACACCTCTATGTAACAATAAACACCTCTATGTAACAATAAACAACACTGTTGTAGAACTAGATATATATACCACTCAAGTCCTTCTGCACACTGTACACTTGTATGTAACAATAAACACCACCTGTATGTACCAATAAACACCACCTGTATGTAACATTAAACACCTGTATGTAACAATAAACAACACCTCTATGTAACAATAATCACCTCTATGTAACAATAAACAACACTGTTATAGAACTAGATATATATACCACTCAAGTCCTTCTGCACACTGTACACTTGTATGTAACAATAAACACCACCTGTATGTAACAATAAACACCACCTATATGTATTGATAAACATCACCTGTATGTAACATTAAACACCTGTATGTAACAATAAACAACACCTCTATGTAACAATAAACAATACCTCTATGTAACAATAAACACACACTGTTGTAGAACTAGATATATACAACTAGACAATATTCAACAGTTTAGTGAGAGTTCAACAGTTTAGAGAGTATTCGACAGTTTAGTCAGTATTCGTCAGTTTAGTCACTATTCAATAGTTGAGACAATATTCAACAGTTAAGTCAGTATTCAACAGTTTGGTCTGTATTCAACAGTTAAGACAATATTCAACAGTTTAGCCAGTATTCAACAGTTTAGACAGTATTCAACAGTTTAGACAATATTCAACAGTTTAGTGAGTATTCAACAGTTTAGACAGTATTCAACAGTTGAGACAGTATTCGACAGTGTAGTCACTATTCAACAGTTTAGTCAGTATTTAACAGTTTAGTCAGTATTCGTCAGTTTAGTCACTATTCAATAGTTTAGACAATATTCAACAGTTTAGTCAGTACTCAACAGTTTGGTCTGTATTCAACAGTTTAGTCAGTATTTAACAGTTTGGTTAGTATTCAACAGTTTAGTCAGTATTCAACAATTTAGTCAGTATTCAACAGTTTAGTCAGTATTTAACAGTTTAGTCAGTATTCAACAATTTAGACAATATTCAACAGTCTAGTCAGTATTTAACAGTTTAGTCAGTATTCAACAGTTTAGTGAGCATGCAACAGTTTAGACAGTATTAGACAGTTTAGACAACATTCAACAGTTTAGTCAGTGTGTAACAGATTAGTCAGTATTCAATAATTTAGTCAGTATTCAACAGTTTAGTCAGTATTCAACAGCTAAGAGTGTTCAACAATTTAGTCAGTATTCAACAATTTAGTCTGTATTCAACATTTAGTCAGTATTCAACAGTCTTGACAATATTCAACAGTTTTGACAATATTCAACAGTTTAGTCAGTATTCAACAGTTACGGGTAAGTCAGTATTCAACAGTTTAGTCAATATTCAACAGTTTAACCAGTTTATCAGTATTCAACACTTTAAACAGTTTATCAGTATTCACAGTTTAGTCAGTATTCAACAACTTAAGGGGCGGTCGGGTAGCCTAGTGGTTAAAGCGTTCGCTCGTCATGCCGAAGACCCGGGTTCAATTCCCGACATGGGTACAATGTGTGAAGCCCATTTCTGGTGTCCCCCGCCGTGATATTGCTGGAATATTGCTAAAAGCGGCGTAAAACCATATTTACTCACTCACTCACTCAACAACTTAACCAGTGTAGTCAGTATTCAACAGTTAAGTCAATATTCAACAGTTTAACCAGTTTATCAGTATTCAACACTTTAAACAGTTTATCAGTATTCACAGTTTAGTCAGTATTCAACAACTTAACCAGTGTAGTCAGTATTCCACAGTTAAACATACAAAGTTTCACAATATTCTGTTTCCTGGGATGTGGTTTCGGTGCACGAGGTACGTACAGTACTCCTGGGCTCGGACGACTTCCTAAAATTGTTCTTCATGTTTACATCTTCCTTGACCTCTTGAACATTGACCACCAGGGGGTTGTAATTCTCGTCAGGCCATCCTGAAGACATAAACCCCACATCAGCCATTGTGTATTCTGTGTACATGTATTGTCTAATTATGGACAGGTACCCTTGCTTTTGCCTTTAGTCTGTGTTTGTGTTGGCTATAGCTTGCATTGTCCCCATCATGCAGATCTTTGAGAACCTTTCCCCTGTGAATAACTCAGCTCTGTAATTTATGAATAATAATCTGCATGCAAAGCAATCTCATTAAAGTCAGATCTTAGTTCTCGCTACCGCTAAACAAAGATCTGAGGACATCCCATTAGGGGTCACGTCAGAACGACCTTTCATCCGACCAATCAGAGCGTCGGGGGCCAGATCATGAAAGTAACAATCGGAATGTTATTTCGATTCATGCAACCTCCAAAACTTTAAAACGGGCTATTCCGAATGACAATTATGGGTTTAACGACTGAATCCTTACAATCTAGACCACATATTTGCCATTCCAGAATGTTCTTTTTTTCGGGTTTAATTTTTTAATCGAGAATTTGTCAAAATATGTTTTGAAGCGTAGTCCCCAATTTGAATTTAGTGCCTTAAAAAACGAGAAAGCTGCGTTCTGATTAGCTAATGTCGACTTCTTGTCAGTCCTTCCATTGGTCGGTCAAAATTCGCGCAAGGTCGGTCTGACGTGACCCATAAGGGGATGTCCTTAGATCTTTGTTTAGCGATAGCGAGAACTAAGATCTGATTATAATGAGATTGCATGCAAAGTAGTGTTGACTTTACTGTTTTCCCCACAATGCAATTTCATCTGTTGATTTTTTTACTGTAACAAAATAACACAAAATAACACAATCTGATTCTCCTTTGGGGTGTGGATCTCTGGGTTCGTCTGTTGTTCCCGTCTGAGGTCCGGTTCCCCACAAGGGTACAATATATATGTCAGAGCTCCAGGGCCCCGTTCCACAAAGCGATCTTAGGGCTAAGTTGATTGTAACTCACTAAGTATGCGATCTTAAATTTTTGTTACGATCAGCCGCCCGTTCCACAAAGCAATCTTAACTAAGAGAGTTGTAAGTTAAGATCAAAATGCTAAGTTGCCCCGGACCAACTTAGGATTGCTAAAATCGATCTTAAATATTGTACCATAACAACAAAGATGGCGACTTTTATTATGATGTGCAAGGAAATGCGTCGTCTGCTAAACATGACCAAAGGAGGCCACTCCAAGGAAAAATTTCGTATCTTTATGGCTGAAGATTCCGATCTTTGTAAAGATCGGCTACTTAAGAACTTGTAAAGTTACAATCACCCTAAGATCGCTTTGTGGAACGGTTGTAAACTTTAGCTAAGACAATTTTAGAATCGACGTAAGTCTCTAAGATTGATTGTAGTTATGATCGCTTTGTGGAACGGAGCCCTGATAAGCTTTTGGTATTGTGGGTATTTTACCCATGCATTTTAAAATCATTCGGTATCGGTAACTCTATCTGCGTATTCAAATTTCTGTTACCCACTAGTTTTTACACATGTGGGTATTTAAGTTAAATATTTTAAAACACTATTCATCTAGTCCCTGCAAACTGGTGTCGTGTGGGTTCGAGAGCTTTATAGGACTAAAAAATACCACGATACTTCAAAAAGAAAGTGTGATGGCAAATGATCATGATGTAACTGTCATCGTGGAGTTTGGCAAGGTTGAAGGAATGCCTGTTTATAATTTAAAAATAAGTTGCAGATTTGCTAATCGAATACGCAGGGTTACTTCACAATATTTTGATGATACGCACAAGTTTTATTTTTGTAGCGTATCTGTAATGTTCGTTGCGTATTTGATACGCTTGGATTATATTTTACTGTGTATTTCTGCATTTCTGATGCGTATTTAACGCAGATACGCAGCTTATCTGGAGCTCTGTATGTGAAACCCATTTCTAGTGCCCCCTGCCCCCCACCTCTCACTCAGTCCTATTGGGAGAGGGCCGCCTCCGTGGTCTTGTGGTAGAGCGTCCGCCCGGAGAGGAAGGTCCTGGGTTCGATCCCTGACCGCGTCATACCAAAAGACGTTAAAAGATGGTACTTGTTGTTACCCTGTCTGGCGCTCGGCATTAAGGGGCTAAAATAAGGACTGGTCGGCTCGGAGTCAGTATACTGTGTCTGAGTGGGGTGTTCATGTTAAACTGCAGCATGGTATCTCAGTGAGCTAGCACTATAAATCGGCATCGGTCCGGACTAGCACAAGCAGCCACAAAAACACACACACACGTGCATGCATGTCGCTATATAAGTGCAATAATCTTGGACGCGACGTTAAACGCAATTTCACCTCACCTATTGGGAGAGACTTTTTACATACCAGCCGGGAGGTCGTCGTCGAGTTGGTCGTCTGGGTGATATGTCGCCTCCATACTAAGGTGGGACTCCTGGACTGGACGATGGGCTTGGAGCCGTTTTTGTTCCCGTGCTATCCGTGCTTTAGATTCTTCTGGTTTCAGAATATCAGCCATGTGTCCCATGTGCGACTCGATGAGGGCTTGGTAAAACTCTTCGAATGCTGTCGGACCCCTTCGTGGCAAACAGTCTAGCAGTTCTCTTTTCACCTCAGTCGGGTTGCCTGCATACTGGAGGTACATGTGTATTGAATTTCAGACATGTCACGTTTAACTTAAACGGATGAGCAATGGATCTTCCTTCCTCCTCCCTAAGATAACCAATGACGTCCCCACTTTAGGCTTACTGACATGTACTCAATCTTTTAACGTCTATTGGTATGACGCGGCCGGTTTAACGTGGGAGGACAAAAGAAGGAAATTACTGCTAGGTGCAGAGATCTGATGAACACACTTACAAGTATTTTGTCTTTAATAGCATTGGAGAACGTCCCCTTCTCCATCAGCCTGTCCATGATGCTCTCGACATCATACATCTCCCCCATCAGCTTTGTGCGGTTCACACGCAGGATATTCCGGTGCTTGTCCTCCATCGTTAGTCACTGTAACAGGAGAAGTGAGGTGAGGTGAAACGGGGTTTAACATTGCGTCCAAGATTATTGCACTTATATAGCGATGTGCATGCACGTGTGTGTGTTTTTGTGGCTGCTTGTACTAGTCCGGACTGATGCCGATTTATAGTGCTAGCTCACTGAGATACCATGCCGCAGTTTAACATGAACACCCCACTCAGACACAGTATACTGACTCCGAGCCGACGAGTCCTTTTTTTAGCCCTTTAATTCCGAGCGCCAGACAGGGTAACAACAAGTACCATCTTTAACGTCTTTTGGTATGCCTCGGTCGGGGATCGAACCCAGGACCTTCCGCTCTCCGGGCGGCGCTCTACCACTAGACCACATAGGCGGTGTGTAACAGGAGTGAGTGAGTTGGGTTTTAACGCCGTTGAACAGTATTCCAGTTATATCACGGCGTGTCAGCTTCATGTAGGAGTAAAGCCCGAAGTGATGCAGGTCTGAGACGTTTACCACTTCGGTAAAACCCACGAGCACAGGTTTGGTGCGGACAAACCTAGAAACATAATTGGGGAGAACCAAGATTCGAACCCACAACCATAGGTTTCTGGCGTGTCCAAGGGGCGCAACACTGCACAGCAAATTCCGGCACCTTAGACGACTGGGCCATCTTTGTCCCCCATTTAATATTAGGTAACTCAAAAAGTGTGCCTTTCATCTATTACAGAAGAATTTAAAGGTATATAAATGGCGACTTGACAATTAATAGCTAAGTTCTCTTAAGAGTAATAGACAATCTAATATCTGAGCATGCATGCGCAGATACCTGAACCAGTACCATGTGCCGATACCTTCTCACTGATATTTTGCAGGACCACATAGTGTGTCTTACATGAGCATTCATCACGGTGCCGGGGGCACGGGTGGCCCAGTCGTCTAAGGCGCCGCGATTCGCTGTGCAGAGTTGCGTCCCTTGGGCACGCCAGAAACCTATGATTGTGGGTTCGAATCCCGGTTCGCCCCAATTATGTTTCTAGGTTTGTCAGCACCATACCCGTGCTCGTGGGTTTCACCGAAGTGGTAAACGTCTGAGACCTACATCACTTCGGGCTTTCCTCCCACATTAAGCTGACACGCCGTGATATAACTGGAATACTGTTAAAAGCGGCGTTAAACCCAACTCACTCACTCTTCATGGTGCCTTAAATTCGGATGTATCCTGGAACTAAGTTTTCAGTTGAGGCAGTTTTGAACAACATTTCAGTGATTCCCCGATCAGAGGGGAGCTGTGTTCCTAGGTCTGATGGCAAGAAGACAACAAGAGTTTGACATCACAAACTAAATCTACAACTTGAGGGAATGGAAATTAGTTATAATTGAGATAAGCATTAGGATTCGTTTCGCATCACATTCAACATTTTTTTAACAGTATTTTGTTAGTTGTCCTGAAATGCTGACCAGAGAGGTTCTGTCTGTACATGGAAAGCCCAGATTAGATAGAGTGGTGGAGTTAAAGAAAGATAAGAAGTATTATCAGACTCTTCTATGCATCCCTTTGGCATAAATAAGTCAGGCTACAGAAGCACCTGATGACCTGTTGTGTGTAATAGTCAATCGTGAACAATAAATGGACTTGAGCAACTAATGTAACTTGTACTTTGAGTGAGCTGCATCATCCCCAGAACCAAGGAGTGGTAAGACGAAGTTGCCAAGGTATAAGGTATTGGTTGGTTGTTGGTTGGTTTGTTGTTTAACACCGCACTCAGCAATATTCCAGCTATATGACGGTGGTCTGTAAATAATCGAGTCTGGACCAGACAATCCAGTGATTGATATCATGTGCATCGATCCACGCAATTGGGATTTATGACATGCAACAACCAAGTCAGCAAGCCTGACCACCTGATCCCGTTAGTCGCCTTTTACGACAAGCATAGTCGCCTTTTACGGCAAGCATGGGTTGCTGAAGACCTATTCTACACCGGATCTTCACGGGTCTAGAAGGTATTACACCTTCAACACCTACAGTGACAGAGTGCATATCACTTACACAGTAGCCGTGATAGTTCCTTGAGCAGTTCGAGTAACAGTTACTTAATGACATAATGAGACAAAAGGTTTTTGCATAAATGTAGGTTTTCATGCCAGTTGGGTGGGTGGGTGGGTGAAGGAGGGGTGAGGATGGAAGGGGAGGGGGGTAGGAAAAGTGAATGAGTGTAGGTTATTTTACATCACTTTTACTGATATTTCAAATACTTTCAGCGGACACCAGAAATGGGCTTCACACATTGTACCGATGTGGGGAATTGAACCCGGACTTTAGGCACGATGAGCCGATACTTTAATGGCTCCACTGTCCAATCGCTATAATATTACTGTATACTACTGTACGTGTTTGTAGAGCGAATATGTACCGCTTTTTCATCTAGGGTCAAACTGGTCTCCTTTTCCCCATGCTCGTTTAAGGCCTGATCAAAATGGGTCAGAATCGGTAGGTCACAATGTCTGATCAGGTCAAATGAATGTCACCATATACCATCCACTAATTTGCCAGAGATAGAATACATTATCTACAGAACCCCCATACAAAGTGCAGCATTGCTGACACGCTTATCTTAACATTCAGTCGCAGTTTCATCTCAACAATAAAATGCCTTCTGCAGTGACACTGTATAGACTTTAGATAGTGGAGCGTCGGTAACAAGAAAGTGCAGCGTAGTGGAAGGTCCTTGAACCAGAACAATATTGGGTAAGACCCGTATTCCCCCCTTAAAAATATATATGACGAAAAGGATTGAGTGGCAATGTATACATAAAAATATTTTGGAGGGGTGATGTGGGTGGGACCAATGTATGATGTCCAGTAATGTCGCACGACGTCACGACGTGTCCGTCCGCCAACTTGGTGTGCAATGCCAGACACCATATACCGGTCAAATCGGTTTGTTCTCTGGAATTGCTGAATCAGATTCGTGCACCACCGTTACCCCACAATATACCGTAAATAGCTTGCATGTTATACACAAATGGCTACTGTACTGCCATATCCGGCTGCCATAGAAAAGGAAAATAAAACCCCATTGACACTGTCAGTTGAACTGTTGTGACGAGAACCTACCTGCAATAGAATGGTACGTTAGCGCGTCAGAACACATAAATGTCGGGTAGATCCATGCACTGAACGCTTGTCGACATTCTACAACACTACCTGTTCACGTGTTTATACAGCCTTACAACTTGCACGGTGAGTGCGGGTGTAATCTAGTGACTAGTGAACTGCAATCCTAATCCTTACTTTAAAGTTTTATCCGAAGCGAAACAAGGAAGTAAAGTCACGTGATCGGTTGCATTTGCGCCACCTGTCCAGTGATATGAGTCGTGAACACATGTCAGTATGGTCGACAGCCCCAAAGCGTTTGTAACATGCACTCTACCACCTGCACCAAAGTAACTCCTGTCTACGTCGAGGCAGGGAGTGCACTATAGGCCGTCTGGACGTTGTCATGGTAGCAGGACTGAGGGTGCCAACCCCGCCCTCTAGACCGAGCGAGTGAGTATGATTTTACGCCGCTTTTAGCAATATTCCATGATGTGGGTTTTAATCATAAAAGAGAGCTGAGATTTTTCCAAGTCGCAATTGAAATTAAACATATGGACGGGATGTTGAGAATTTCTCACTATCTACTTAAATATAATTTAACAGTACAGACATATGTGCTCTTATAACAATCCACGTATTTCTGCGTAAAAAAGAATTTGATTGATTTATGGCCCTATTTAGCTATTGGATCCCATTTAGCTATTGGATCCCCCGCCCCCAGGCCAAGTTATCAAAACAAATAGCAAATCACACCGCGCAATAGCGCTGAGTAGTACGTACTTCCTAAAAAGCAATAATGTTTTCCTAAAAACAACGCTTATATAAATATTTATTCTGTTTGCGGAGTAGATTTCATCAAAGTGGAAGTCCTCACCCAAGCAATGGTAATACTACCGGATGTCCATTATGTAATTTCTAGTTTTGGATGACATATTGTTCTCAGTAACCGTAATGTGGAAATAGATAGTTGATTGGTTTTATATTCAAGTTGGTATTTCCGCTATTCAAAGTGTTCAGTGAGGCCGTCTGATCAACAGTCATTTCTGAGACATAAATGCAAAATATAATTACCGTATTCGACGTAATAAGCGCCCCGCTCTAATAAACGCCCACGGCAATGTTTGCTAATATATTGGCTAGTGAACAATCCCAATTAGCACCCCTTCCGATTTATTAATGTACACAAGACTTATTTATTCGCGTATAATAAGCACTCGTTATATGCACACTTAATTATGGGCAATTAAATTCGTGAAAAATATATCTGTCGTACATAAACATTTCATCTTTCAACTCAACTTTCTTTTCACCAAAATAATATTCTAATTTTGAGAGCGCCCTTGGCGCTTATTACGTCGAATACGGTAATTAAGTCTACGCTAATTTGTTCGCATTTATAATTAACTCTAACGTTAATTTCAAGGTTTACAGTACATACTATTCAAAAGAAGTTAAAGAACACCCGATTCCTTCATATGACTATGGTTAGTCGTTAGTGGAAGCGACAGAGCGAGAAAGCGATATTTCCCATAATGCCGTACATTAAAACGGTTTTTGCTGACATTTAGTGATCCATTCCTGTAATTCTCACCGCTATTTTGCCTCTTATGATTAGATTTGATTTTTTAAACATCTTGTTGTAGATAAATAATTTACAAAATACACACGTAATTTTTTCTCATTTAGCTTGTATATTTTCTTGTAGTGTAATAAATAAGCAAGATTCACAAAATACAGATAGTCACTGTTCATATTTTCATTTTGTTCATAGTATCCTCCCCTCATTCCTCCATCAATCTTAAAACTGATAAAAAGGAGATCATATATTGACAAATAATTGTCAGTTTTATTTGCCAGTTTGTATTCTGTTTGTACAGAATGATTTTTTTCGGTCATTAGATTTGGAATTGAAGCCAAATATGTGCTCGTCCGATTTCGGGATCACAATTATGTTCATTTAGTTGCATGCACATTATGCAAACAAAAGTTGTACATGTGCACAGTTATGTTTCCCTTACACAATACAGATGAATTTGATATATGTCTCTACCTTAAGTCACATATATACGACTTTCGAGAGCATCATTAACCCGTAACCCTATTCCTTGGACAACAGAAATGAATTGCGTCGTAAATATGTTTTTTAAACAACTCGTTTCTTATAATGACTTTCGATCAAACTGTCTTCGGGAATTAAATTTAATGCTAAAGTGCTTGTAAAATATAGTTTAACTTTCCCGCCAGGAGAGACTAGATATCCAATTATAGTATAGGCTCAGGCAGGAATATACATATTTATGTAACAATTCTCTATCCATTTAAACTGTATGTTAACAATTGTGCGTTCTGATGTGAGTTATGTAGTTATCTACTACATTTTTACACAGACAATGAGTCGGACACACACACACACACACACACACACACACACACACACACACACACACACACACAAAATTTTGACAAAACTATACTTAAGATATACATAACATATCACAATGAAAGCTGATTTAATATATGTTATAGATAATCATAGTAATGCATTTCATATTGTTATCAACCTTAACTATGTGGCCACACTAATTATGTCTCTCCATATGTGCAGTTAACACAAGTACACATATCAACTGTGGTAACGCCACAGCGATGGGGGTAGTCGGGAAGCCTAGTGGTTAAAGCGTTCGATCGTCAAGCCGAAGACCCAGTTCGATTCCCCACATGGGTACAATGTGTGAAGCCCATTTCTGGTGTTCCCCGTGATATTACTGGATTATTGTTAAAAGCGACGTGAAACCATTCTCACTCACTCATTCACAGCGGTGTTTATCAAATTACTATATGCAAGTACATATATTTGTAGATTTGCACAAGACAAGAAACACAATTCAAGTTAAACATACATCAAATGTCAAAAAGAACATTTACGGACAACCTTATGACACACTGTAACATCATATACTACCGAAAACAAGTTATAGAACACCCACAATTATAAGATTGTATTTTTGCAAAACAATCAGCCATGACTAATTAACCATAGTCTTCTTAACTTATATATATTGTATATATTTACATTTTAACCTGATTTATTTAGAGCGTATTGCCATGATCTGCCACGCGCTTTCGGCGTGATGGTCACATACAACTGAATAGGGCCATAAATAATTCAATTACATTTTACGAAAAAATCGGTGGATTGTTTTAAAATCACCTACGTCTCAACAGTTAAATTATGTTTTAAGTAAATAGTGAGAAAAGTTCAACATTACCTCCCAATTGCAGCAGATACCACATGCGGCCCCTATAGTGGTCAAGAGGGGATATTGCTTAACCGCGAGAAAGCGATAGAGCGATAAAGCGAGAAAGCGATAGAGCGAGAAAGCTAGAAAGCGATGTCCCTTCTCGGCCACCATAGAAATCAGGTTGTTGGTTGGTTTGTTTGTTGTTTAACGCCGCACTCAGCAATATACCAGCTATATGACGGCGGTCTGTAAATAATCAAGTCTGGACAGGACAATCCAGTGATTGACATCATGAGCATCGATCCACGCCATTGGGATCGATGACATGCATCAACCAAGTCAGCGAGCCTGACCACCCGATCCCGTTAGTCGCCTTTTACGACAAGCATAGTCGCCTTTTACGGCAAGCATGGGTTGCTGAAGACCTATTCTACCCCGGAAGCTTCACGGGTCGGAAATCAGGTAGATCATATAATAAATGATGATGTTGATTACTTACCTATTGATAAGGACTACAATACCGATAACTTCTGTCGTCCTCGACGATCCCTATATAAAGGCATAAACAACGTTTAACTATGGCTTAAATTTATTAGATATGTGTAAGATACTTGGTTTCCATATAGTTAATGGAATATTTAAATCAGATAGGCAATTTGACTTATGTATCACATTCTAGATGCGGCGCTGTTGACTATTTTATTATTTCTACTGATATTTTCACAAATATAATAGATATGTCGGTTCTTCAGCAAACTGAGTCAGACCATTTGCCAATCCTATGTACTCTGAAGAACATCCTGCCTTCAACCTGTCAACCCAATAAGAGGCCTGAAACTACCTATTTGTTAATAAATCATATACAGTAAACTACGGTTATAACGAACACGCTTATAACGAACTGACGGATATAACGAACTTACTTTTTGGTCCCGACTGTTTGCTGTAGTTATGCTGTATATATGCTTATAACGAACTACGGTTATAACGAACTAAAATTAGTAGTCCCTTTGAGTTCGTTATAACCGTACTTTACTGTAGTTAGATACAGACTCCCTGAAGATAAGATCACTTCGCATCATAAATATTTATGCAGCACTGCGAGTAAAGAAATGTTTAATGATTTTTCTATATTATTAGAACATAATGTTGATACTGCTGTAGGAAAGTTTAGTTATATTTTAATTCATTGTGGTAAAAATGCAGGAGCATGTGTCCAAGAAGCTACAAAGCACGACAGGCAACAATCGCCCTGTTTTCATGTAGAGTGTGGGGGCACGGGTGGCCCAGTCGTCTAAGGCGCCGCGATTCGCTGTGCAGAGTTGCGTCCCTTGGGCACGCCAGAGACCTATGATTGTGGGTTCGAATTCCGGTTCGCCCCAATTATGTTTCTAGGTTTGTCAGCACCATACCCGTGTTCGTGGGTTTCACCGAAGTGGTAAATGTCTGAGACCTGCATCACTTCGGGCTTTCATCCCACATTAAGCTGACACGCCGCGATATAACTGGAATACTGTTAAAAGCGGCGTTAAACCCAACTCACTCACCCACTCATGTAGAGTGTACTAATCTAAAATCTAGAAAATATAGGTTGCTGAACAAGTTTAGATCATATAAATGTGATGTCAATCACCTTTATCACAATGCGAAATCTGAGGACAAGAAATTCTGTAGAAAGACGAAAAACAAATACGATGCTAAACTGCGATGATATGAAGTTGGCAGCTAAACATGGAGACTGTAAACGTTTCTGGAATTCATTAAAAAGGGCGATACGAGGTTTTATTGCCCACGTGGTGAAGATGCTGGTGGTAAGATACTCGTTCTCGTAAGATACTATTTTTACGAAACGAGTGGACCTTCGCTCGGTCAGATACCATAGAAAGTTCACGAGTTTCGTAAAAATATATCTTACGAGAACGAGTGTAGTATTTTATTTATTACCGACATTTTTATGCACGAAAAAAGCGTTTTCGTTACTTTATACGCCAAACGCAAACCGGCTCGAACTCTGGTTGCGCATGAATAGTAAAATGCCCAAATATAGACATGCTAACTTATTTACGCATTGGTAAATAGTTCCTGTTGTTTGTGTATGAATAATTGACAATACTGCTCATGCCAGGAAATCACAGTTTTAATTTGGAGAGAGTGAACTAACTGGAATGTGTATGATGTGTACACACTGAACAAGAACATGTAAAAAGTCAAACGTCGCCTCCCGTTTGAATCTCGGCCATGCAGCGGAGACGTTCACTCACGCCGCTAGCACATTCAACAGTTAGCCTTCTCAACATTACTGTTGTCAGTGGACCTCGTTTCCAGCTTTTGACGTTTCGGAGCATAGAAATCACTGTGGTCACCAAGGAAGTTAATGTTTATCGTTCCTCCCTATAGATCTATAGGAGGAGGGAAAATGGAATTGACAAAGCCGCACCGAGTTTGCTTGGATTGTGCGGAGGTCAAAACATTGACGGAAAGAGATGTCCTTTCGGGAAGGGCAAGGTCACCGCGAGTGTTGGAAGAGATCATGTTACTAATGTCACGATGTTAATCGCTGGAGATACTGCTGTAGTTGTTCAAACTTTGGATGTTTTTGTGACCGGAAATTTGCATGATTTCTGTGTTGGGTACACCAATCTCACGGAGTGATTGAATCATGGCTTTCGTGGCCGAGTAATTTGTGACACGTTTTCCAGTGATTCCCGCTGAAGTGGATATTCTTTTCTTAATTGAGCCAAGTTTATTTTTTCCAACTGGTCCACGTTTAAACCAAACATGGTTAGGGGCAGGTGCTAATTTCGAATTCATGGCCAAATAGAACGGAGTATCTGGTGAACAAAATTCTACCGGGCGCAATCTGGCATACAGTTTGTACAGTGCAGCTGGACATCGTGGGTCGTTGGTAGACCATGCACGGGGAGGCACGTCACGGACATTACGTGTGTCATTGCCTGTGCGTGTCTTTGTTTGACGTTCATTGTACTCAATGAACTCTCTACCATCAGAGTCGAGTTTAAGAATTACATCTCCCCACCTCATCAAGTGAAGAGGTTTTACACTTCGGAGACCAAAGTGTCTTGTGTTATTCCACCATAGTGTTATTAGGACCCAATTCGTTTGCATCAAACATCATGTTGATTTCATCATGGGACAGACTTTCGGCCCTAATAGGTAAGTCGCCCTTCTCTTTTTAGAATTTTTTGTTTGGTTGACAGAAGTTCACGAAGTTTTGAAAACTCACGATCCTGCAACAAGGACTTTTCATATCCCCTTGATTTTAGAAATCTGTCAATACTTGATAGCTTTGATGTCAAATAGCTTGGTTCATAGTCCTGGCCGTTAGATTTCTTTGTCAAGATGAAAAAGCTACACAATACGCCCCAAAGTTCTTTTGGGGGTATGGTTTCAACCGGCCTAGAATCGGCTCCAAAATACTTATGTCATATTGGGTTTTTCTCCAGGTGTTTTGATTTCGATTTTGATGTATGAAATTGTCAATGTTTGAACAGTCATACTGATATACATTGTCACCTGGTATATCATCAAAAAAGTCATCCTTAAATAGTTCCTCATAGACACATTCTGGAACAGTGTCAAATGGGTTCAAAACGGATTTTAGGGGCCGACGATACAGTCTCAGGAACAACAGTAAGTCTATGCCATCCTACTTGCCTCATTTCACCATTTAGAGTTTTGATATTGTAGGCGTTGAATGTTCCAAGTGGCTGAACAATAGAAAGCACCCGTCCTCTAACTTCCCCGTCAATTTTGACACAATCTTTAACACGAATAGTGGTAGCCATCTTTCGATCTGCGCTAATATTTTAGCAGACGATCGCGCGGGAGATGCTGGTTTTGTGTACAGTCCGTTTGATTCCATTTGAGACCGATGAATTGCTCACCAATTCAAAATCTAATAATTGCAACAAAACCAAAATGTGCACAGCGACATGAATTGGACAGACCAGCTCTGATGGTTTGTCTCATAATTTTGGACGCCCCGAATAAAACAATTGTTTAACAAACGATCATCATATTGTTGACATATTTCGCCATCCCATACAAGGGGAGGACCAGTCGCTCATAGAACAGCCAGGTGGGCGAGTTTCATGTGCGAAAGTGACGTAAGGCTTGCCGAGCAAACCATATATGCGTGATTGCTATACCTGAGACAATGAGAACATCACTCGACGCGAAGTCAAGTATTTGCAACGTCTTCAATTTTTTTTAAAAAGAATGTGTTTACGAACTGCACGTGCAGTTGGGATAACAGAAGGGAAGTTAAAAACTATGTTAAAAAAGTGTACTGATTCAACCTGCAGTGACACACTGCGATGTTTTAAAGTCGATTCATTTCAACAAGAGATGGTTATATAATTAGAAACGCCATTAAGACTCAAAATAAACAAAATATCTATGTCTCTCTCCGTACTCTAAAAAAATATATGGAGACAAATCATTCTTTGACCATTTTAAAATATCAGTTATGGAAATTGCTTCACCAATTTGGTTTCCGTTACAAAAAAGTAGGCTCCGATAATAGACATGCATTATGCGAGAGGTCTGATACTGTTCGACTAAGGAACCATTTCTTACGCACAATACGAGAAAAACGTTACGAGGGTTATGAGCCCGTATACTTGGACGAAACGTAGGTAAACGCTTCCCATACCACAGGAACACAATGGTTCCCTAGCTCCTCTTCTGATTATCTGTGCCAGGAAATTGGCACTTGGCAAGGGTGAGTGGCTTATTGTGCTCCATGCTGGCTGCAAGAGTAGGGGAATCCTTCCAGGCTGTTCGCTAGTCTTCAAGGCAAAATCCAAGGACAACCGAGACTATCATACCGAAATGAACGGAGCGGTATTCCTAGAATGGGTTAAAACTCAACTGGTACCGGTATTGCCCCCCCGCCCATCCCCCCCCCCCTCCCAGGAGTCTGATTATCATGGACAATGCTCCATATCATGGCGTTCAGGTACCTAACACAAAAGCCCCAACGTCTAACAGTAGGAAGGGCGATATAATAGAATGGTGGACACACAAAGCAATACCGTATCCACAAAAAGCAACGAAACCTGTTCTGTATGATATTATAAAGTCTAATAAAACCACACCTGTCAAAAGTTGACGAGTATCTTAAAGAACATGGCCATTCAGTTTTGCGATTGCCGCCCTATCATTGCGATTTAAACCCAATAGAACTAATTTGGGGTATCATTATATCGGATGTTGGCAGGCAAAATACAACATTCAAACTGCGGGATGTACAGAAACTGGTTCAACAATTAATAGACACCATCACGCAGGAAACGTGGCAAAAGTGTGTTGAGAAAGTTGAGAATGAAATAGAGATACATTATTGGGATGAAAGTGGATTGGACCATGCCACAATCAAGCCAGTGATCATCAGGGTAGACTTGGACAGCGGCGATAGCGATTCGGACAACAGCGACACCGATTCCACCATATACGGTGCACATGCTTGTTCATTACCTGGCTGTTCCATGAGCCACTGGTATGTCAACAATATGATGATCGTTTGTTAAACATTTTTTTATTCGGGTGTCCAAAATTATGAGACAAACCATCAGAGTTGGTCTGTCCAATTGATGTCGCTGTGCACATTTTGGTTTTGTTGCAATTATTAGATTTTGAGTTAGTGATCAATTCATCGGTCTCAAATGGAATCAAACGGACTGTAGTATATTTGTTACCAAATGCAAAATGTTCAAGTTAGCCAAACAAAACGCCATTTATTGTTATGTTTGTATTGAAATTGCTTGTGATTGTTTGTAAATGTGTCTCGTTATCACGAGATTCCTACAGTTCTGCTTCGTAGTAGTAAAGAGTTGTGAAAGCGAATGACGTCTCGTGGTTGTTTATGAATGAAAAAGTAGTTCCGGTGTGACCGAGGTCACGATTGTCCAATCAAAACGAAAAAAAACGAGGTTAACCTTGTACGACACACGTGTGACGTACGGATTTAGTATCTTACCACCTGTATCTTCACCACGTGGGTAATAATAAATCTGTACGTCACACGTGTGTCAGCGCCATGTGACGATTGGTCACATCTTTCACAGTCCATTCAAGACATTGAATATGCTTTTTATCCGTTTCATGTTTGACAAGTCTACACATTTTCATAAACAAACGTCAAATAATGTTTACGGTTCATTAAGAAAGTATCCTAATACGTGAAAATCTATTTGTTTTTGCGTAGTTATCCTTTGTTTACATTGGTTGTACGGCTCCACGTGCTGTTATGGTGTTATGCTGAGTCACCACTGCGCCGGAGTGTGCGTTTTAATTGGACTTCTGTCACACCGGGACTACTTTCTTCATTCATAAAAAATCGCGAGACGTCATTCATTTTGAAACTACAACGCAGAACTGAAGACATTAATGAGAACGAGAGATATTTACAAACACTAACCAAACAAAATAGTTACCCGCATCAAATTCGGTTTAAGTTATGCATAGAGCTTCTACAGACATGATATAATCGAGCTGTATCCATTTACAATGTAGCCTGCAACCTCGGGGTATCGCGGTACTTGTCATGTACGCTGAACGGAACAAAATGCCCTCACCAACCTTTTTGATTATTTGTGTTCTCTGTATCATACGTCATTCATTTTATCAAACAATGCACATTTTACTGATAAAAGTTCATTATTTCCATTCGTAGCGCCGAGTAAAAGCCGGGCCTCGCGCTCGGTTTGACAAGGGAGAGAACTCCATCGTATCGTGGTAAAGGGAAAAGTTGTGTATGGAGGCCCAAATCAGACAAAAATATGACAAATTTTTACCTGCCACAAAGTATGATGATGCCAGACTTCGTGATTCATCCAGACAAATGCAAAGACAGCATAAAGGAAGAAAATGCATAAAAAGTTCAGTAGTCCCGAAATTTCTCAAAATCTAGAACAATGGAGTAAATAGGTTAACAGTTAAATAGTCACCAAGGAAACAGTTTAAACACAGTGGGGGCACTGGAATTCACCATGACGCCTTACAAATGTAAGCCCACTTGACAATCACCAGATAAGGGCACGACCTTAGTCCTGGTGGGGTGTGCTTGCCACAAACACAGCAGTTCTCTGAATCATCATCAGACACATCAGGAGATGAATCTTGTTCTGAGTCAGAACTGTTTACCCAAAATGAAGATAGACCTGGCTGAGGACTTGTAGGTTTGGAGTGCTTGACACAGGCAGCGCGTTTAGTCGAAGTAGTAGCAGATCTCTTCAAATGTGTACTTTTTGCTGGAATGATTGTTTGATTCTGTAGCTTTTTTGTGCTTCTTGAGGACTGCATAATTTCAACATTTTTTTGCTTCAGAAGATTTCCAGTCAGAAACGGTGGCACAAATTTTTTCTTAGGTTTACAGAAGACTTTTGTGATCCTCCTCTCTTGAAGAAACTGGCTTGTACTGGAAGCTGAAGGAACCTGAACTGGTGGTATAACATCTGAACGGCTACCTGGGGTTTCATGTGTGGATTCCAAAGGTGGAGCATCCGGAGGTGCTTCATTTTCCTGATTTCCTGTGTCTGAGTGAGGATATATAGTTGCAGGTGCTACGGACAGATCCTCAATAGTCTTGTTGGAAAAAAGATAAATCCCAGATTTCCGGAAAGCTGACGCCAAATTATCTGGAGACATTGCCCTCAAATATGGTTTGGCTGTGAGCTTGGCAACCTCGTATTTGGTGATTTTCACACCTGGATTCCGTTGAAGATACAACTGACATTCCCTGCTGTACATAGATTTAAAGGGCCCAAACACTGCAACATCCAGAGGCTGGGTGATATGACTGGTATGTGGTGGCAGGACAAACAAAATGACGTTGTGCTTCTTGGCCCATTCAACTAGAGTTAAAGACACATGTGATCTATGGCCATCAAAGAGAACTAGTGTTTTCGGTGGCATCGGATCTGTGCTTATCCCTGCATGCTTCACAAAGTGCTTTGTGAGATAATTCTGAAATATCTTTGCATTAGACCATCCACTGTCTGACATTTCTCCAGAAGATCCAGGTGGCGCTCCATCCAGGAACTGATCATTCCACCTCTTGCCAGGGAAAAAAAAGTAAGGAGGAATGTGGTTACCAATGGCATTACCACCACCGATAATGGTAACTGTGGAAGATCTTGGCGATGTTACTGCTTGTGGTTGGGAAGTGGAGTCACAGACGATCTTAGGAGGGGCATGCTCAGTACTGATCCCAGTCTCATCCATGTCGTAGATCCTTTCTGGATTCTCTCTCAGTTCATTAAATGTCAAAATAGTGGCCAGCTCCTTAAAGTAGGAACGCAGTTCTTCGCGGGAGGCATATTGTGCTCTCAGCATGGATAGCTTCTGGGGTTTGGCAAGTTTAACGTCGGGCCATCGCCTTAGAAACCCATAAAACCAGTTGTCACTAAGAGGTCTATCACTCTTCTGCCACATGTCACTGCAAAATCGGCTGCCTGGTATTGGACATTGAGCTTTGTATAGCCATATCCTATGCTGGACATGAACTTTATGTGAGTGACTAACTGTTGCTCCTCTTTGTCAGACAAAAGCGTCTCTCCACCGGTCTTAGCATGGACAGGAACATTACCCCTTGTTCTGTCTCGAAGAGTTGACTCCGGAACTGTATAGAAACGAGATGCACTATATACTGAAATTCCATCGCGAGTGGCATCAAATGCACGCTGCAAATTGGCAGCATCATACTGGCATCTAACTTTAACTGTCTTAGGCTGCTGAAAAGTTAGTTGCCTCCTTACTTTAACAGTCTTGCTATCCTGAAAAGAGAAAAGGTAAGTAGAATTTAGTCTGTGCAATAATTAATAGGTATTACATGCATTCTTACCATTTTACCAAAAAAAAGTAATAAAAAAACAACGAACAACAAATATGAGTTAAATATTGTAAGATTTTTATTAAAAAAGGATCAACATTATTCGTCCAAAAAGTTGAAAAAATGTGAAAAAAATGTTTTAAAAAGCCTATAAATATATACATAAAACGCAATACAGAAAACTATAAATACACATTTTTCGAATTTTACCACTCCTTTTATGACAACATTATGTATTCATCATATTTGGCTCCAAGTCAGGAACGTATTGGTAAATATGGCATTATGGCCCTTATTATGTACCATACATTTCTGACCACTTATCGGAAACAAATGTGTGGACTACGTCACTTCCGCTACCTTATTTGTCAACAGGAATATGCAGACGACATTGTTCAGGTCGACCGAGAAAGTTTACTTGAGAAAAAGCGCGTTATATCGAAGTCATTTGAAAGATAGGGGTAAGGCACTATTTCAAAACATGCCAGAACTAAGTATCAATCTGTCTATAAATGCTTACTTACCAGTAGACGGAACATTCTGCAGAAATTGCAATTGTTTACGAGGCGAAGACTTCCTGGTTGATGATTTGCATATGTAAACAGCCGCTAGGAGGCGTGTCCCGCGTGAACTACCGGAAATCACAAATGCCGCGATACCACGGGGTCCGAGTATACGACTACCGATTAATAGAGCGAGGGTCCCCATGAGCGTGACGCAACCGATCACTTTCGCAACTTTCAATCTGAATTAACGTAAAAGGATAAGCGTGGTGAAATGAAGTCTGTTTAAACTATCTGGACAGATATCTAGACTTACTTGGGATATGATCCGGTCGTGCCATCAGTGTCCCCTTCGAAGCGTATTTTGTTGCGCTGTTTCGGGCGGTGTTGTTCATGAACGAACGTACACGACTGCACGACCAGGGCCCGGGATCATGAAACTAACTTAAGATCATATTTTGTCTTAACTCTTAAGATTAGACTTAAGACCAAATTTGGTCTTAAATCGGGGATCACGAAGCTCAATCACTGAGAATATCTTAAGTCTAAGACAAAATTTGATCTTAAATCCTAAGACTGCCCCTGAGTAGACTTAAGACAAAATTTGTAGCAAGAAAGATGGCGGAGGTTGTTCGCCTCATGCGTTGCCTAGGGGCTAAAAAGGACAAAATAGCAAATCATCGGACATTTCGAGACCGATTCAACCCTCTTGATCTGTACAACGACGAAGAGCTCTTTGAGAGATACATGTATAGATTTCGTCGTCCTACCATTTTTTTCATCCTTGGTCTAACCGGTGATGAACTGGCATAGATTCTACCCCACTCAGCGTTCCCACAGTCTCCCACCTATTATTCAAGTTTTGATATTCCTTCAGTTTTTTGCTATTTGGGCTTTTCACCTTCAGTTGCTCAGTCGCTTTGTGTCAGCTATATTGGATAGTGTTTACAAAATCACGTTATATGTACACCGGTAATGAGACGCAAATACCATCACGTATATTTCAAAATCAGCTGTGATACCTACATCCTTGAATTCCTCATACATTTTAGAATCAAATGCCAAATGGTCTTTGTCACCAATACAAATTGTCTAGATGTAATGAAGCAAAATAAATGAGTCGTGAAAACGAACGCTGAAAAAAGTGCACTTGTTGGAAATGTAAACAAAGCCATTCGTCTATTCGTTGAGTACATTGGCTCAGCATTTACAGAATAAACACGGGAAGAGAATCGTAGGGAGCTAGAGAATTAGGGAATATATACATTGCAATGCTTTGATATTTTCAACAGAACTTGTCCAGTGTGACGCCATGACTGACGCAAAATTACGCACAAAGACAACGGTATTTATCAGTATTTATCGGAATTTCCGTTGGTTTCAATGAAAAATATAACAACAAAAAACAGTACACAGATTGTAATTAAGAATGGGTCTGATTACTTACGTGTCACTTTTATGTATATACGAACCCTGAATCAACGAAAGTCCCCTTGTAAAATCCCGCGTACTGTTGACAGTCAACACGCCATTTTGTAAAAGTCGGTCACCGGTAGTGATGTCATACGTCAACATATGTTGTACATATTAGGTAATTTCTTTGAGGTGAAGGTCCTTGAATGAAAGTACACACGATCATTGTGTCCTAGCAGGCTATTTACAGTTTCAATTATGATGTAGATCGTGCATGTCTTGTGTACATTTTTTCACACATTTAATTTCACTTTGGATATTAATCAATGTTCAATATGATATCATTAGTAGATATAGGCCACAACATGTATGAAGCTTTAATAATATCCTGTTTGTTTGAACAATGTTTACACATGAAATTGATAAGTTTATAGTGTCGTATACGATATTTCTTTATTTTGGACAAGTGATACTAGATGAAATGTAAATACAACTGCAACATGTATGTATTTATAGGGAGTGTAATAGTCAATATTATAAGTTCATATAAACAGTGTCCACGAATAGCTGTATAACTAAACTGAAGATATAACTTAAAGAAATCTTGATATTATTTTTCGTTAAAATATATGCACAAATTTCTAGAAGAATTGTCCTTGTCTTGGAATTTTTTTATGCCGTTTGATATACAGAACAGTGACATCCAACGATTCGCCAGGTGCGCGTTAGTCACAAACGACTTATGAATTATTTCTCTAGTTTTGCATTATATAATCAATGGGTTCATCCTTTATCAAATATTGTGACCCCAAGATATTAAACTGTTTACTATATTTCTACAAGAATTGTAAAAAGTTATAAAATATAACCCGTGCCATGTAAGGACGATTATCCTTATACGATTATCCTGTTAATTCTATACCAAGAGAGCTTTTTCGCATCTTTTATGGTATAATTTTGAGACAAGCTGATGAGAAATATAAATACATAATAATGAACAAATACATGTACAATATTGAATAATAATTTTGTTTGGTTTGAAATCATTTTTTGAGTACTTGCATGATTACGTAAAATTGATGCCAAACAGGTGCGTGTCTTGTCCAATTAAGATACACTGTACATTATCGAATTGTTTATATATTCAAGACATTATTTACATGTTAAACGCAGTCTTTTTATGTTGTGTCGAAAAAGCGTCAAATTCCGTTTTAAACACATGGACTTTTTCCATATCATGAACGAAAATTAGGGGAGATATATATCAATCAAAATACCAGTGTCGTCTTTCTCCGACGTTATCAAAGACAAACAAGCAGCCATGACGTCAAATAGAATTGTGTCATTTTCTTAGTAATTAATTACATTTGATGATACTGCTAGTGATCCATTTAGATAGGTGCAACATTAGTCAAATTACACTTGCACAATCAGGAGAATGTTGGAATCTAAGGACTAATTTATGGTTTATATAGGGCCATCCATTTCGCTATCACTCATTTTTTATGAAGTATAATTTCATAATTTCTGATGGTTTTTTTATGCCTAAACGTATACAGTTTCAATATCAATATTTGTGTTGGAATAGTTTGGTTCCTCGTGAACACAACACCACGAAAATACACTGTCCTTACCCACAGCTAATTCTCACCAAGTGACCCTAGTTACAATAAACTAAAGCTAAGCATAGCGGAGTTATGCCCCCTTTCCTTTGAACGCGTGTAACCTCTCTGTCGCCTTTTGACGTCATAGCGGTAAATCAGTTTTCGTCATTTACGGCAGGCTATTTTTTGCATTGAATTTATGTTGTTATACATACTCATATAACTCCATTTGATATATATTTATGTCGTTCAAATATTAGGCAGTATTTTGTTCGCTCACAGTTTCGGTAAAGCTGCCAAATAATTTTTTTTGTCGCACAGTACTTTTATTGGTGTACGCTAAAAAGCAGAGAAATTTCCTGTTTTTCGACGCAGAATAAATTCTCGGACAAAACTTAGCAGCGTCTTTTTTTCAAACCAGTTTAATATTTACAGTTAAATTTACACCATCAGATTGGAAATTTAATATTCTACATCACTGCGTAATTTTATAGCCAGAGGTAGATCCAGTGCCGAGTGAGCGCAATTCTCGCACAACATTCTCTTTTCCGATCTTAGGAAAATGTGCGTCAGAAAAATAACCTCGGCATCCAATGATTACAGTAGTGCGATATTACGTGCGCGTGTCCCTATGACGACGGTCTTAGACTTAGACTTAGCTAAGATTTTGCTGAGACCGTTTCAAGATCCAGTCTTAGAGCGAATCTTAGCTAAGCAAAATCTTAAAAACTTAAGACAAAATTCGTGCTTAGCAAAATTTGAGCTAAGACCACTTTCATGATCCCGGGCCCAGATCACTAAAAGTGAACAGTTCTGATACAAATCATTCGAAAACTCCGTGGAAGTGTGCCTGACTTCGGATTTTGTGGCCCCAAACATCTCAATTGTGAACAATAACATTCCCTATCTCTAGCGTAAAACGCTGTGAGTAGATCACGGTTGTCTTTTCTTATTCCGGTGGTGACCTTGCCCTTCGATCGTTCGAAGCTGTCACTGACATGCAAGCAGGCTTGAGATTGTTGATTTTCACGTCTTCAGTATAGGGTGGTACAGTTAACATGAATGTCTTTGGCGAACACTCTGATTTCCCTCTTCCAAAATGGTACGAACATGATATAAATTCAGCTGATAGATCAAGGAAACCGAACCATTTTGATTGCAAAGACGGGACACCGGCAGTGCGAGTGACGGACTGTTAGTCCAATATTCAAAGCACGGCGCTAATGTGACTTTTCAAATTTTCTAGTAGGTGTCCTTCGTTCTAACAACATGGCGCTAGATTTACCATAAGTTGAAGAATTTCTTCCAAAAGGATCTTGAGCGTCGGTGCTGTTTTGTTGGCAAACACAACTGCAGGCGCATGTTGTTAATGCGTATGCATAGAAATGTCAACAATGCCCATATTTGGGCATATATCAATATTCATGCGCAACCAGATTTTGCAACCGGTTTCAGTTTGGTCTGTCAACGAACGAAAGTTGTTATGTATTTACACTTAAATATATATTTAACGTGGGTAATAAATAAAATACCACTCTCATTCTCATTAGATACCATTTTTACGAAACTCGTATGTAACGAGAATGAGTGTAGTATTCTCGATATTCATCTTGTTACTCCTTGTCACCAGATGTCCGGTTCTTTTATTTTAAAGATCTACTTAACCCCGCATTTAATAACTTGGAAGCCGAACCCTTTGATCGCTATGTAACGCAGTTTGTACATTCCAATTCATGTGAAGACTGCAACGAGTTACCATTTACAGATGATCTATTATCAGGTGAACTGTCACAGAAAGACATTGAGTGTGCATTACACAATGAATCTGGAAGCTGGTAGAAAGGGAATACCAGCTGAATTTTATAGGTTATCAGGCAAAATTCTGATGCCATATTTAAAGTTATATTTTGATAAAATTATGAATACTGGAGTGTTTCCGGAGTCGTGGAACGTGGGTATGATATTACCATTGTGCAAATCGAGTACAAGGTCTTAGCCTAGTTATTACACGGGTGTTTCTCTATTAAATGTAACGGGAAAGCTGTTTACTTTTATTATAGAAAAGCGTCTTAGAGTTTTGGGTGGATGTGAATAATCTTCTACCTGAATCTCAGGATGGTTTTCGCCCAAACTATTGAAAGGTTGACAAGCTATTTATATTGCAAGCTTTAGGTTCCATATATTTATGTAAA